CAGCCGCACCGAACAGACTGCCTCCCGCCGCACCACCGAACAGGCTTCCACCCGGCGCACCGCCTGCAGGCGTTGTAGCAGCGGGTTTTGTTCCAGTTGATGTGCCAGCGGTAGCGCCGCCCGCATTGCCAAACAGCCCGCCGCCCGTCGCCGGCTTTACTCCGCCGAACAGCCCGCCGCCACTCGCGGGCGCCGCGGCACCAGCTGCACCGAACAAGCCACCTCCACCAGTCCCTGCAGCGCCCCCCGCTGCACCAGTCTGGCCAGTTTGAGCCGTTCCAGCTGTAGCTCCTCCTCCAAATAGGCCGCCTGGTGCCGGTGCAGCGCCTGCAGGCTTGGCACCGAATAATCCTCCGCCTGTCTGGTTCTGGTTTGTGGCGCCAAATAATCCACCACCAGCTGTACCCGTTGTCCCGCCGGACTGATTCTGGTTGTTGTTCGCTCCAAACGCGCCTCCGCCGCCAAAGAGTGATGTGCCGGTAGCGCCCCCCGCGTTGCCGAATAAACCGCCAGTCGTGGTAGCACCGCCGGTGCTATTCTGGCCGGTAGCTCCTGCCGCGTTGTTGTTGTTGTTGGCTGCTGCATATAGAGTGTCAGCACTTCAAGTTCTCTCTGTATTCATACTGGAGCTGCACACCTCCAAATATACTTCCGCCACCACCACCGAAGGCGTTCCCTCCTTGCGGTTGTTGCCCAGTCCCAGCGTTCTGATTCTGGTTATTTTGGCCAAACAGACCTCCTCCGAAGGCACTCATATTATAGGCTAAGAATGGATGGACGGATAGAGTAGTGAGTACTCTGCCTCAGTGGAGGCGAGAACAAGGACGCGACGCGATCGACGCGCGCCGCGTTCGACGCGACTCGTTCACGCGTTCACGCCCACGTGAAGTTCAAAACTCTGCAGAAACTCTCATCGTCGTTCGGACTTTGTTTTAGCTGGTATGTATGATAGGGTATACGTATTCGACGGTAAAGACAGTAGCAATAGAGTGTGCACTATGAAGCATCCGAATATCACGACGATTACGTCGCATTTCCTCCCTCGAGCAGAAGCTTCAAAGCCTCTCCCTGCGCGTCGAAAGCCTCCTGTAACCCCTCCTTGAACAGAAGCTCCACCACGCCCGCAAGCCCACCATTATACACCTGCGCACTCTCATAGAGCGTCTTGTTGTCCACCGTACTGACCGCCGTCCACCTCGTAACGTTCACAGCGATATCCGGGATATCGATCTGCTTCCACGCGACACGGTGAAGGTCGGGTTGGAGGTGCGTGACGTTCTCGAACGACAGCTGGTTGTGCAGGAGGTTCAAGGGCGTCGAACGGTTGACGGGGACCTGCAAGGGAGGGATCTGGGCGTCGATAATGATCCGCGCGCCTTCGAATGCAGTCTGATTTTCGAGAGGGATGAAGAACTCGTTGCAGACAGTCTGGGATCTATGGCATGACCCGTATGAGCGACGACTCGCTGGACTAGGGCAGCCCTTCGGCTCACCTTGCAAAAGGGTTCCAGTCAGGGTAACTGGAGAAGTCGATGATCTTCTCCCAGACCGCATCGAGCGGGGCGTCGATCAAGGTACGCGCGCTGACATTGAAAACACCGTCACCCTGAGTGAAGCCAACATCAGAAGGGTGGGTGAGGAGCACGAAGACGATCAGACACGTACGAGAGGCGGTAGGTTCGTCTGCGCATTGACCGCGCCCGAAGCCTGCAACAAGACCAGTGAAGCCGCAACAACCGACGAGAGCATCTTCGAGAGAGTCAGCAAATCGCTACGGTCCCGTATTCAGTCGCCCGTCCCTTTATATATAAGCGCCCAAGCCTTCCAAGACTATATATCATGATGCAATAAAAGGCCGAACCATATGGAAGCGCCTGAGCCCGGAGGAGATTCGCAAGAAGCTGGAGCCCATGATGCGAGACGGACTTTGTGCCCCGCCGTCGTTGCCCTAGAGACATACCGGATTGGAAGATCCACGATCCATATGACCGAGTATGAAGATACAAAGATGGAATTGGCACGGTGGTGAGCACTGAGCGGAGCAAATTGTAAGGATTGGGGTCGTAAGAGGTCGTAAAGATCATAAAGTGGGTAAGGTACAAGATACAACGGATTTTGCTGGGGCGTATGTGCAGCGATATCGCGATGAGACCGGACAGGGGTGTACGACAAGATGGGGGAGAGGGTAGCACAGGATGGTCGACAACAATGCAGCAAGGGCAACAGTAGAGTCCGGAGGAGGCCAACAGTCCAATAATTGAGTGATAACGCGAAAGACCCGGGATGGATATATGCAAGGAGAACGACGGCTCGGAACGAAGTGCGGCACAAGGCGCTATGGTCGTGTCCGTGGTGACTGGCGACTCTGATGTAGATCCACGATGCCAAAGTACAAGCTGACACCGAAGGCCAAGGCGATGAGACAGCTCCCTGCTTCGGCAACGTTCCAAGCATTGCAGTACCCGTCAAAGCCGCCGGGAGGGCATGCGCCGGAGAGTAGTGTCCATACGAACACCACTCCCCAAAGGACAAGCCCAACGCCATCGGACGTCGTGATCCACTTGAGCTCCTTGCGCGCGGCCATCCAGTTGCGTTCCAGCGCCAGACCTTCGAATACAGTTCTCCGACGAGGAACTGAACCGCCCTTGCGTCCACGCGATGCGGAGGTGAGGTCTGTGCTGCCATCATCATCTCCCCAGCCTTCCTCCTCGCGGCCGAAGCCTCCAGGCATGAACGCTGAAGGGTCAACGATGAGGTTGACTTGTACGCCTTCGCCCTGTTGACCTTTCTTTCCCTTCTTGCCTTTCTTTCCCCCCGGAGCACCGCCGACAGGGAGCACGGTAAGGCCGCCAAGCCCCTCTCCCGTCAAACCTGCTGAGGCGGAGGCCTTGCGTCGACCGCAACAGCAGGGACGAAGAGCGAACATGAAGAGTGCGGCGAGAAAGGTGACGACGGAAAGGATGTAAAGCACGTATGTCGATGCTTTACCGGCTGGAGGTGGCGTCTTCGACGGCTTGATCTCTACGGCAGCGTAGATCGAAGATACCGCGATCGCAAGAGCGAGTAGGATTTCCATTACCCTCGCGGCCAGTCGTTTGCGCGGTCCCTGCGTGATGAGTCGACCTTTGTCGTCGACCGAACCGACGACGCGAGCTTCAGGCCCCTCAGGTCCGGGCTGTGCCTCCCTCCCAAACTCCCTCTCCAGCATCCTCAACCTCTCCTCCTTGGTCCCCTCGTCCACCGGAGCGCCGTAGTTCGGCCCATCGGGACCCCAAGGCAGCACATCTCTCGAAGAGTGCGAGTGATACGAAGTTGGCAAGAGCTCCTTGGAGGCGTCATATGTGGGGTCGAAGAACGCCGGACGTTCGTGCGCTGGTATTGTTGAGCGCTTCGATGGTGGAGGCCTCTCCTTCGCGTACCAGTGCTTGGACCACGCAGGGAAATGGGCGATGTCAAGTTCAGAGTCGCCGTCACGGGGTATACGAGCGTATGAAGGGGTTGGGTATTCCTGAACAGAGTCGAGCGAGTCGCGGATATATGGGGACCAGCCCACTTCGTCACGGGGCGTGTGGAGTGTATTGAACGAGTTGTACGAGGTAGCAGGCGGAGGGAGCGAGAAGTGCCGACGTGAACTGTAGTACGGTGCGCCCATGTGTGGTTCTGAGGAGAGGGTATCCGGCGAGGAAACCAATGATGGCGTCGTGCGTGAGGCTACTGAGAATGGGCGGGCTGGGGGCGGTGATGGCGGGTACTCGGGTTGTATTCGTCGTGCATAGTCTGCGAGGTCCAATGCGTCCACTGACGACTCTGAAGTTTCTCTCCGTCTCTGGCCATGTTGTACTGGGGGTAGAGGATCCTGAGGATCGGGCGACCATGGCCTGTGCGAGCGAAAGTAGGAGGTGGGTGGTGGAGAGTCGTAATCGTTTGCGCCGGTGTGATACATCGTGTTCGTAGCAGAAAAATCCGTAAGGAGGGTGATGTCCGGGTCGATACTCTGCAAAAGGAAAGGCAAAGAACAAGTTGCCAGACCCCAGAGAGGGAGGGGAACGACCAGATGAGGGACTGAAGCAGAAGGCGCTTTGCGCTACAGCCACTGAGAACAACGTGCGCCAGACGCGCCGTGCCCCTGATCGCTTCCTTCACGGACGTCACCATGGACCCTTGGGTATCGTATCGTACACATTACAGACGCTCTGCGCACAGACTACGCTACAAAGTCCCTCGCTATACTACATTCGCCGATGAGGGCTGACATTGATCACTCAGTCTCAGGTAACGATACTTTGCTACTGGCTGTCCGTCGATGATCCCCGATGCTATTATCCCAGTCATCCGGGTCGGGTTCCATCGTAACTTCCTCAGGTTGGCCCTTCGACGAGGCGAACACCACGGGCGAGGCGCGTCCGCCGTTGCTAGCGCTGCGCTCGGGAGCGTTGACGTTGACGGGTTGTGCGTTCGTGCGGAACGACAACGCCACCAAATCGACGTGCTCGCTAGCGCGCGTACGCTGGCCGCGCGAGCCCGATGAATTTGAACCAGATGTGCCGCGATTCGTCTTGCGGTTGGTGAGGCTGTATATATTCCGTGAGAGCCTGCGGGGCGCACAATCATAGAATGAACATACGTGAGGAGCATAGACACGGCGTAGACTATTGGGGTTGAGTTCAGTAAGACGGCTGCGCAACGAGAGACTCAAGGCGCACTTTTGGGCATGATCATCGTGTTGGCCGTGCCGACAGTGAGAGGTTCCGCAGCGAAGACCTGAGCGGTGTGTGAGCATCAGAGATAAGCGAGACAGAACGTGTGCTGAACGTACCAGAATGAAGAACATCACCTGGCTTGTCAGGATGATGATACCGCGAGTAGCGAAGAAGACTAGAAGCATCGTAAGAGGGCTCTCCTTTCGCAGACTAAGGATACGCAGATCAACAACGTGAAGTGAGCATCAGAGCGTATGTACGTACTGGGCGAATTCGTTGCGATGCGCCTGGAGAAGAGTGACCAGCGAGATCGTGACGAGTCCATCGAGAACCGCGTCCATGACGATTTTGAACCGGAGCAAGTCCGTGGTGATGATCAGACCATGCTCGAAGGAGGGGATTGCTCCAGAAATGAAGACATTCGCCGTGATGTTGCCGCCGAAACTTGCAGCGATACAGAGGCCCAGGAACGCCGTGAAGGGGACTGTGAGTACAGAGCTTGGTTTGACTTCTCTTCGCACTGTAGACGGCAGTTAGCACTAGCACAGTCGACAATATAATTTGAATGACGCACCAGTCCAGATGCGCACGGTGAAAAACCTGAGGTTCCAGTTGAGGGGTATGCGATATAGTTGTGGCGTGAGCTTTTACTCACAATTGGACCACAGCAATAGTGACACCCGCAAGAAAACCTTCCGTCTGTGGGTGACGTGAGTTATTGGGGAAGATGGCGTAAGGGAGCAACGTACAGCAATTATGGCGTCCGACGAAGCGGAATTATCGCCTGTGAGATAACCCCAGGACGTCACACAGTCAAAGATGAACCCCGCTGTGGTCAGAAGCCTGTATCACTTTCAGAGGCAGAGTCGCCGCGGAAGGAAGGCCCAACTCACGCCAACGCGTAAACCTAGACATCAGTGCAGTAATCTCAGTGATTCAACTCTACTGCAAAGATAACGCATGCGTACCCATAGCTTCAGACCGATGCTATCGTTCCTGAACACGAAGATGTACCGTGCAACCTGCTGTACGATGGCGCCGTAGATCCTAATACGAAGCGCGCAGCGGACGTGAGCATGAGAGCGCGGGAGATGCCCGAAGGACGGAAGGAACGCACACTGCAGCCAACAGCAGCACGCCGAAGGCCGTCGCCTGGAAGGACGTGTTCCATAAGGGATTGGAACTCGGCATACCATCTATCGCGGTGGGGGCATAAAGAGGAACGCTTAACCGGACGGCGCGGCGCGCGGTTATATACCGTCTGCGGAGGTTTCAGGGCGCGGTAAGGGCCACGATCGTGAGGGGCTCGAACACAACCAGCTGCTCTGGAAAAACGCTGCGCAACAAGGCTAATTGGCGACGTTGTACATCGTAGAAGAGCTTGACGGAACGCTCGTTCGGACGCCGCGGATTGAGCCGGATGCGCCCCCGTTATGGAGATGGTATCGGGATGAAGACCGTTTTATTGGCTCCGCCAATGCATCAACTAGAAAGGTGGCTCGATCACGGTCAGTTACCATATTGTGACGTGTAGGCGAGCACCATTCAAGCTTAAATAAGTACTACGTCTAGAGACCATGGACTGCAGAAGGCGTGTGCAAGCACTACCTTCGGTACGGGTCCAGCAAATTAAAGAGGAGCGGACATGGTTGTCGTTGGGCAAGTCACTCCTTACGGCAAGAGCCGGGAGATGCCCGTGCCAACAAGGCACATCATTTACGGGAAAATCGCGATGGGACATGCCAATCGGGAGGTGCCAGGCCTGGAGTCTATTATTGTTTGGACCTGTTGACAATATAGAGGGCACGCGGCAAACTGGACGCACTACCCAGATAAGAGACATAAGCGAAGGCTTCATCAGAGCGCTCTCCCCAAATCAGATGAGACAGCTCGTACAGTACGCTGGGGTGTAATCTGTGGCGTTAGCTTACGCAGATTGAGTCTGCCAACAAACCTTACTCCTTGCGATCTACTAAACGCTGCCTGAAAGCTATGCCTAACGAATGGATATAATATGACATTTGTTACACAGTCTACATTACATGTCATGATGGTGGGTACCCGATTTCGCACTTCTGATCCTGTGAAGATCGCCCAACGCACTGTCAAAGTCATCCGGTTCAGGATGCATGTTAACTTCCTCGGGCGGGCCCTTCGACGACGCGAAGACAACGGGCGAAGCACGTCCGCTTCTCGGCAGTTCATCCTCCAGATCGGTATGTGTTCGTTGTGTCCCGGTCTGGAGAGAGAACAGCATAAGGTCGACAGGATCGGAGGCATGTGTACGCGGTGGTCGAGAGCCGGTCGAGCCGGGACCGGATTGTCCTGATCGCGTCTTGCGGTTGTTGAGGCTGTAATGGGAGATGAACGTGAGCTGTCGAAGAATGGGGAGGATACTGGTGAGCACATACGTGAGAAGCATAGAAATAGCATAGACTAGTGATAACGTGAGTACAGCACAAGAGGATAACCCCATAGGACACACCTTTAGGCATGAGTGTAGTGTTCGCCGCGCCAACAGTGATGTAATTCTCAGCGAAAACCTGGACCAATATGAGTACTTCTGCGAGTATTAAGATCGTTGTACATACCAAGATGAGGAACAGTGACTGGAAAACGGCCATGATGATACCGCGAGCCGCAAAGAACACCAAGAGGCGCTCTAAAGGGCTGTCTCTACGCAAGCTGTAGAGGCGGGTGTCAGTGACAAAAGATATATAAATTACAGCGAGATTTGACGCACTGCGAGAACTCGTTCCGATGAGCTTGCAGGAGAGCGCTCAGCGAAACTGTCACTAAAGCGTCGAGCGCGGCGTCAAGCGCAATCTTCGCTTTGCGCAGATTCTGTAGAGTAAGGTAAGCAATGCGACAATTAGGTACCGCACTGGACCTACCGCAGTCACAGTGTGGCCGTTCTTAGGAAACGTCGGTGCAGTCCTGGGGATATTCAATCGCTATGGCCCGAGTTATGCTTCAAAGGCAAATCTCACAGGTATCCGGTGATAGCTAAACCGCCAAGATGAGCACTTTCTCAAGTTCGAGTGGTAATAGAGACTTACTCATGACGCAGGTCACAGACGCGAGCGCCATGACAGCCAGGATTCCGACTTGGAGTGTTGTATACACTGAGTCGGGCCGGGCCTCTCGTCGGACTGCAGGGACATAATGTTTGTGGATTCCTCGATAAACAATCCGCCAGAGAGAGGCATACCAGTCCATATCCGAACGATGAAGAAGCTGGATAGTTCGCATCAGCTTTGTCCGCAGGGTGATGATAGGGGACGCACATTTGAACGACAAAGATGGTAATACCGGCCAGGGCACCCTCGATCTGCATACACGAGCATGAGATCGCATTCGTCTCGTGTACGGAGGTAGACGTACCGCGTATAGTTGTTGAGAGGCGATAGAGCTACCGGTGAGGTATCCCCAGGTATTGATAGAATCGAGAATAAAGCCGGTAGTAGTCAGAGCTCTGGCAGAATTCAGTTGGCACGAGCCTGGTCGCAATCAGAACTGGAACGCGTACAGAAGCAGGTACACCTGCGAAAACATTTAGTTGACCGGTCCACCACACGAGAAAGGGAACGTACCCAGATCTTCAGGGCGAAGCTATCGCCCCTAAAAACGAAGGCATAGCGAGCCACCTGCTGCACGCACGCGCCGTAAATTCTAGACAAGCCCATCAACATGAAAGTGCCAAGCGCCGAAGGGGCAAGATACGCACACAGCAGCGAGGATGAGCGTAGCGAATGTCGTAGCCTGGTACGACGTGGTCCAGATGCTCGACATGCCATCTACTGCGAGCGGCCGGGGCAAAAGAAGGAGATTTCGTGATGCAGCGGGCGCTGGATATATATCCGTCCGTGCGGTCGGAGGTCTGACTTTGAAAGCGCGCTATTGGCGTCACCATGCGCGCAGTCCTAAAACGCGCGCTCTAAGCCCTCGAGATGAACTGCCAGCGCCTGGGAAGAGCAACTGAGCGTAGGTTGTCAGGAATTACATGTGTGCGTTGGCTCATACGAGAAGGGTCGGCGCGGGTGGCGGGCCAATTGGACGGAGACGACAAGGTTGGCTCAATCAAGGCATCATCGCGCGCGCGAAGAATGCCCACGGTCGAGATGATCCCCGTCAATCCTCTCATGTCAGGTGCACTACCGAACAGATAATACACTACACTTGCGCCTAAGGCCTAACTAGCCACCAGTCACTGAGGCTGAATGCGGCGCTCGGGCGGCGTGCGCAGTGCGACAGCACTGACATCGCTACTTACCCGGCGCCCTTGACGGCATTGTGCGATCGACGTCGCTATCCTATCGGGATTCGAGAACGAACGATCCGGTTTCCGTTGAAAGTGCTACATTACATGTCATGAAGGCGGATACGATGACTTTGTACTTCTAGTCCGACGGAGATCACCCAATGCATTATCATAATCGTCTGGCTCAGGGTGCATGGTCACCTCCTCAGGCGGACCCTTCGACGACGCAAATACGACGGGCGACGCGCGCCCGCTGTCTGGTATCCCGTGCTCGATGTCGGTATGTGTTCGCTGCACGTTACCCTGCAGAGAAAGCAATACAAGATCGAGGGGGTCGGACGCATGTGTGCGTGGAGGGCGTGAGCCTGTTGAGGCCGAGGTAGATTGCCCATGTCGCGCCTTGCGGTTATTGAGGCTGCATGACAGTGGATGTGAGCTTTCGAGTCGCAGAGCACAAGAGTAGGAGAACGCACGTCAGAAGCATAGATATGGCATAAACTACGGGTAGACTCAGCTTTGGGAAGAAGGCAGATGACGGACAGTGAGCGTACCCTTGGGCATGATCGTGGTGTTCGCTGTGCCGACAGTAATGTAATTGGTGGCAAAAACCTATCTCATCATGAGCCATCCAGAATATAGTTAGTAGTACACGCTGTACACACCAAGATTAGAAACAGTAGCTGGAAAACGGCCATTATGATGCCCCGAGTAGCGAAGAAAACTAAGAGGTGTTCAAGAGGGCTGTCCTTGCGCAAGCTGAACCGCGCCAAGCGTTATCATGAGATGCACTTGAGAGACAGCGGAATATCGCTCACTGTGAGAATTCACTACGGTGGGCTTGCAGAAGAGCGCTCAGCGAGACCGTCACCAGAGCGTCGAGCACGGCGTCGGTCGCAATCTTCACTTTGAGTAAATTCTGTGGTACAAGGTGAGCGGCGATCCGTAGCACCAGAATAGTCCACATACCGCTGTGATGGTCAACCCATTCTTTGGAAAGTGACTGGGATTGGTCCTTGTGATAGTCAGCCCCTAGTGTCCGAACTATGGCGAAAAGGTGGGCCGTACAGGTATCCAGTCGTGGCTGAATATTTGGATCAGGACCTGTGAACATGTGGATGGCGACGAACTCACTCATGACACACGTAACAGAAGTGAGCGCCATTGCAACAAGGATTGCGACCTGAGGAATTGTGAACATGGAGTCAGGCCGAACCTCTCGTCGGACTGCCAAGGTAAGATTACTCTCAGGTCTTCGAAGGAAACAGAGAGAAGGCCGAGCGGCGCACCATTCCATATCCGAACGATGAAGAAACTGCGTAGTGGACTTTAACGACGTGCGTATGTGGAGGGAAGCAAGAACGTACATTTGAACAACAAAGATGGTGATACCAGAGAGGGCGCCCTCAACCTTTACGAGAATTCAGTTTCACTTTGTCCACCTCAGCTACGGCATGCAAGACGCACCGCTACTAGCTGTTCCGAGCTGACAGTGCTACCTGTGAGGTATCCCCAGGTATTGATGGAATCGAGAACAAAGCCAGTAGTGGTCAGAGCGCTGCCCGGTTTCGGTCAGCATGAGCCTGGTCGCACGCAGGACTAAAACGCATACAGGAGCAGGTAAACCTACGCGTACGGTCAGTTCATCGATCCACATCACTACGCAGATTGGCAGATTGGGAGCGTACCCAGGTCTTCAAGGTGAGATTGTCGTTCCTGAAGACGAAGGCGTATCGAGACACCTGCTGCACACATGCACCGTAGATTCTGAGTGAGCCCATCAGCACGAGACGAAAAACGTCGAGTGTTAAGGCACATACACAGCAGCGAGAATGAGAGTAGCAAAGGCCGTCGCCTGGAACGACGGGCTCCAGATGCTCGACATGCCATTTACTATCGCGGCCGGGGCATGAGAAGGGAGTTCGGTGATGGGGAGGTGCAGGGTATATATCCCGTCCGCCGCTCGTGGAGGGTCTGACCTTGGGGCGTGCTACCGGCGTCGCCACGCGCCCCTCAAGGCCCTGTGAAGATGAGCAACGGGGCAAAGGCTATCAGAATATTGCGTGGGCACATCGTGTTGTCCAGAAGAAGATGGATCGGGCCGCAGGGCCATTTGACACGGAAGCGACAAAGTTGGCTCAATCAGGGCATCATCGCGCGCGGGAGAGATACCCACGACCGGAATGGGTCCCAGTAAATCCTCCTTGAACCTTATGCGCAAGCCGTTGCATGCGTAGATTGTAGCGGCGCTCGCTACGCCTGTCCTTTTGACTTGCGGATCTTCTCAACACGTACAAAACCTGTACTGTGCATCGGTAATCGACATCCTTAAAGGCGCTCTGCTTGCTCCGCTAGCGCGACTGGCAATTGAATATTCACACCCAACCTCCCCACAAGGCTGGGGCGAGGCGCCCTGCTGAGTATGTGGTCTTGATAGAGTTCCACTCGGGGGAGGCATGCCGGTGTGGCCGTCACACCCGACTGTACAATTATCAAACAAGGAAAACACTAGCTGGCTCAAGGATGAGTCTGTATTAAGCCCGTTATGCGCCACCGCCCTCGGTATGCAACCTTAATGGAGCGTTGAGCGCTGAGCGGCGACCCATACGGTGGGAGAGTGCTGTATAGTTCATGTATACCGTAAGTAGTCAATTGCACGGTTCAACAGAGCGCTCGCCAAGGGCGATTAATCTCCATCGTGATGCGGCGAAGTGCTGTGGCCAGACGAGGTTAAATGCGCCTATCCAGGTCGCCGACGGAGCGCCGCGAATATAGTTCCAAATACGTGCGGCTTTAGCACCAGCGACCGGGGAATGCCTTGTACGTCCGCGGAGGTGATTGACAAGCTGCGTTGAACTTTGTGCAAGGGTCGTGGACAGACACGACGCCATGATGGTCGTCAGCAAGGAACTGAACACCGAGTCGCCGACGCGCTCACAGCCTCTGACGTGACTTGGAAGCCATAACGGGTCCGGCGCGTCCGCGGCCTAGCGCGGTGCCTTTCCTCCTCCCGCCACCATCTGCTTCTCCAGTCCTTGATAATGGGACGAATACCAGACCTACCAGGCCAGCTGGTGGAGCGCGGCTCAGCGCAGGACGTGTGGCTTCGTGGACATGTCGCAAATCTCTGTGGCTTACCGCACGACCGGTGCGCGACCCGTACCTGGAAGGCGCACACAGTGAGACTGACGTTGTGAGGACAGTTTCCCTGGTGCTCAACCCGTGAGCTTCGCGGAGAGAGATCTGGACAGGCTTGTGGAATCCGAGTACGTCTATGGTCTGCTCGCGCATGGTGAGGGGGGTGCGTCGGGCGTTAGGCTAATGGATGCGCAGTTACTGGGTTTGCGAGAAGTCGGATGGTGTGCGCGTATTGCTGGTCATCTTGACGAACGAGCATACGGGAGAGCAGTTGGTCCACCTTGTACATACTCTTGTAACCCGTGACCGCGCTGTGCCACTAAGCCGATACTTGGCTCGTAGGTGGATCGCCACAACTCGTACCGGCGCGTTGAAGGAATCTACTTCCCACATTTCGACAACCCAGCCCGCCCTTTGCGGAGTACGATCATTGACTCAGAGCTTGTCATCGATGTGGATCCTGCCACTGGCCAGGTGCGCATTGTCGCGAGTGGCAACATTAACCTCGCAATAATGCTGTTCAGGAAACCCTGCGTTTGTTATGCTTCGACTGTCTCATTACGGACGGTACGAATATCATGAACAGGTCCTTGGAAAAACGTTATGGCGTACGAGTGAATGTTTATGTGTCGATCATGCCTAAACTCCGTCACTGCAGCGCTTGAAAATCCATTTCTTCGACCCGTATGCGAAGATGAAGCAGGAACACCCCGAAGTTATACATTCGCACCCCTTCGAGTAAGACATCACATATTGCATGGATGAAGCCTCTCGCTTATGCGTGCCGTACCCAGCATCAAAGTCAAGGAGGTGAACCTATCCTATCACCTCGACAAGGTATTCAAAGTCGACATTCCGCGCTTGCAACACGGCAACGACGGATTGATCTATACGCCCGTCGCAACGCCCTACGTTCCTGGCACCGACAAGAACATGTACGTTATCTCCGTTTATCCCTACCTACCAGATCCCCGCGCGCCCGGATTGATATTGTGGCGCACAGACTAAAGTGGAAACCGCCCTCGGAGAACTCGATCGACTTCAAGCTCGTACTGCGCTTCCCGCCAACCAAGGGGCCGGGGCGACGGAACGAGCCGGACTTCCATGCGCGCCCGATCTTCGCGTTGCATGTTTGGGCCGGAGGCTCGAACTATGAGCCCTACGATACGATGCACGTCACCGACGAGGAGTGGGAGACGATGAAGGCTTCCGGGGACCAATATGACGAGCGCGTTGTCGAGGTGCACTGGGATGCTGAGCTCGAGAGCTGGCGGATGATGCGCTTTCGCGATGACAAGCCGCATGGGAACCACAAGACGACCGTCGAGAATATCATCAGCAGTATCGCAGACGGCGTTGAGAAAGACGTCGTATGTGACATTGCTCTTGTACCAGGTCTTATCTCGCTAATCATCTACCTATTCCCTGCCCACAGCTCGTCGCACGGTCAAACCAGGTCCGTGATGCCTGGAAGGCGCGACACACGCCCGGCGCCCGCCCACCGCCACCCTCCGGTGCCCCGCCGCCGCGTCAGGCCCCACCACCGCTGCAGCCCGCTGCAGCTGTGCGCTCGGTCCCGAGCATCAGACGATTCGGGCCGTTGCGGCCCAGCCCGATGAGCAAGGTCGGAGGGCCCGCCGTGTACGCGGGTTTCCGTCGTTAGGGTTTTCAGTTGTCGTGTTTCAATCGATCGAGGTCGAGAGGAATGGACTGTTCGTGGAGCGCCCAGCTGCCTGATAGACTCTTGAGCGCGGTTTAAGCGAGACGTCATGATATGCGCTTTGCTGCGCGCCGCTGTGTTGCGTTGTATATCGACATGGCACCAACGCCCACAGCGCCAATGCCCGCATCTTCTTTCGAACGTGTTATTCAATAGTACATTGGGCGCCTGCGATACAGTACAGCCGATTGTTAGGGAGCGGGTGGATACATATACGTCGCCCGGACCTCTTACCCCCGTTACCTGCGGGCCTTGAGCACGTTGTCAAGTGCTTCAGATTGGACTCCGACCCCGACGCTTCGCATGTACCGCAGTGCCTTACAATATCACAAGGAATATACGTATGCGGGTCCAGGCCCTACCTGTTCACATGTTGCTATTCCACCTTCGTATGCGCGCAAACACAGTAGCAAGCGTTGCTACCGTCAAGCTTGAAGGATGATATCCTTCTTGCCTCCATCATAGACGAATATTTCGCGCAATAGTGGGGAGGTGAATGACAGCACGGTTTTGATTTGTACATTCTGGTGGCTCAGTGAAGGCGTATCGTGTACAGACGAACGAGGGACGACTGCGAGCGCGCGGAACGCTGACGGGGTGTGCTATGCGGGTGCGACGTGCAAGGGACGAAAGCAAGGAGAAAAGCAGGTAGGGGTGTGGACGGATTCAAACGGGAACAAGGGACGAAAGGAACAAGATGCAAATGAAGATCGAAGGATGATTGGTGAAGGTAGAGGTTATCGTATGTGCGAATGATGTAGAAGAGAGGAAGGCATGTCTAGTCGTACAGAGTCATAATCGAGGTTGGAGACAGTGGAGGTATGTCAATGGGTTTATGCGGCACTTTGGGTAGCGAGGTGAAAGCGAGGCGGGGGATAGATAAATGTAATGTAGGGCGTCAGGTGGAAGCTGAATCTGGTCATGCCAGGCGGATTCGTGCGGGGTCGTTCGTGGTCCAACCAGGCAGGACAATCAAGAAGACAAGATATTGCACATGAGGAACGTCAAGGGGTGTCGTTGCAGGCGCAAGACGGTATATTTCAGTGTGGTTCGTTGCGCGGCGCTTTTGTGGCTGGCGCAGGAGACGGAAGTGATGGCAGCGGCGAGTGGAGAAAGTAGGGTAGCGTGTCGCGGCGCTTAGAAGATGGCAGCGCAGGCAGTCTCGAGACGATCGAGCTTCAATATGCCATTGAAGAGATCGTCCCCTTCTGCGACCGCCGTAGAGCCCACGAGAGATAGTGTACTCTCGCGCTTCTTCGAAGGCGGGCTTGCGGGGCACGGCATGTGGTCGAAGAAGGAAAGCGAATCTCTTGGTGTGAGGATGGGCGTCATCGGTTCGGGGGACGATTCGAGGGATGAAGACGAGCTGGCGCTGCGGACGCTGTAGCTGTCTGATGCGACGCGGCGGAGGGGAGTGCGAACTTGAAGCCACGGCAGGCGCGGATGCTGAGCGGAAATGGAGCCAATTCAGGAATGACTTTCAAATAGAGTGAAGACGAGTGAGACTGACCGTAGCGCCGTCGCTGTCGCCATCGCGGACGCGCCGCAACCATTCTGGCTCGAGGGACGCTGCACGAGGCAGCGACGCCACAGCCATGGGCGGCCGCGCAGCCTCGTTCGCGGCCTCCAGATTCTCGTCCAGGCCCTCGTCTTCGCTGAGGGCAGTGTCGGCGTCGACCTGGCCATCGTGCACGAGCCACCAGTCGATGTCGGCCAGCACGCGGCGAGACTTTGTTTGTGTGGGGTCCGAGACCCTGCGGTGTTGTGTGGCGGTCCGGGTCGAGCTCGACGAAGAGCTCGACCACGAGAGCGCCGCTGCCGTCGCGTACGGCGCTGCGCCAGCGCGCGCAACAGCGGTGGAGGTGTTTGACCTGCGGAGGGACGGCATGGCTGGTCTGCGACGACGTCCGGGGGAGTCGTGGTGCGGAGGTGAGCGCTGCACGAGGCTGCCATTTTATGCACAGATCTCCCGCCGCGCCTCTTTCTCAGGCTCGTGCGGTTTGATTCCGTGTCCACCGTATCGCTCTCTTCTCCACTTTCTCTCACTCCTTCTGTACATATCTGAGTACAAGCGTAGTCTGTATGGAGCTGCATCGCAACCAGATGCTTGTAAAATACATCGGTATCCTCTTTGGCCAGGGAGAACAAGGACTCGTTCACGATGTGGCCGCTCACACTCCCACCCCTGCGCGCGGCGCGGTCCGCCCCGCGCATCATCTGTCCTTCACAACAAGCCCAGGGTGTTCCATTCCTATATGCGCATCATCATCGAGCACATCATCTTCCGACATGGCAGCGCGCGCTCATCCTACAGCTAAGCTCAAGGTACATGAGTCCATCGACGTGAGGTTTCCGATAGATGCATTGCACGGCCTTCGGATTATATACAGCCGCTCGTGGCTTTCCGCTCGCTGTCCCCCACCGGCAGTTTCACCATATCTTTGAATAGAGTACTCCGGTATACGTTGACGTCTGTCCCCCTGCGCCTCCGCGAAGGACAGGCCTCGTGGTGAGCAGCGCTGCGGCGGACCCGAAGGCCGAGTGAGGCATTGAGATAAGATCTGGAGATTGAGTGACATCATTGGACAAGCTCGTGGCACCGCCATATCACTTTAGCAGTTCATCTTCCCTCTGAACTCCTGCTGCCGAGCAATTCGGTACTGTAACATTCATCGTAGCCATGCCTTATGGATAGACCACAAAGCGCCCATTCCCCGAAGTCTCATAATCTGTATCCGCAACGAGGTTGATGGCGCTAACTCGGCGGAATCCTGGGTGCGCCGCGCCCATCCCGCGCGGCACGGACGACAACCGCCACCCTCAGCCCACAGATAACCGGTGCTCGCCTATTTAGCCTCTTCTTCTCGACCTCGTCCAGAGTGTAGACGCACAGCGATGTCCGGACAGACTGTATTCTACGGCCCTCTCGTGACCCCGCTCTCGCTCACAGAATATGCCGCCCTGCCGCGAGCGCTTATTTGTGTCTCGCCAGACGGCGATATTGCCTGGCGTATCGACGATGTTGCACCATACGACCTTCAGCTCGCACTCTCCACCCATGGTGCAGCAGATGCCGAGCTCGTCGAGCTTCGCCGCGGCGAGTTCTTGCTTCCTGGCTTCGTAGACACCCACACGGTACGTCCTACGCGCGCCTCGAAGCACCGGCGCGTTCCTGATATCCCAGCGCTCATTCACTCAACCTCACGACGACCTCCACGCCTATTACATCCTTGTCGCGCATCCGGATCTTCGCTTGTCATCCTTGTCCTGTGGCTTCTGCTCTTGGAACATCGTAGCATGCGCCCCAGGTGCCCAACATCGGCAGGTGCGTTGCTTCTACCGGTGTGAGTTTGACGTGTATCGAGGCTAACGCGCGCTTCTACTTTCCCAGCGGACAGCAGTACGAGCTCCTTGACTGGCTGGAGAACGTTACTTTCCCTGTGGAGGCGCAGTTCGCCGACGTTGAATTCGCGAAGCGGACGTATTCGAACGTCGTGAGGCGGCTCATCGACTCCGGAGTGCGTGAGAAGCCGTTGAATGAATTGTATAGCGACTGACGGGATCACTAGACTACTACATGCTGCTACTACGCGACACTGCACCTAGAAGCATCCAAAGCTCTCGCGGATATCGTGCACACGACCGGTACGTCTCGATAACTCCGTGTGCGCCTATCTAAGGCTGAAATCCCACGTTAGGTCAAAGGGCGTTCATAGGGGTAAGATACCTACACCAATCTTGATGGCCATACTGACCCTCGAAACAGAAATGTAACATGGATCGAAACTGCCCGCCGACCTACATCGAGCCTTCTGCCTCGTCATCCCTCGCCGATACACATACCTTGATACAACACATCCGCGCCCTGTCACCTACTTCGTCGTCCCAACACGCCGCTCTTGTCCAGCCAGTCTTGACCCCTCGCTTCGCAATCAGTACGACCCCGCCTCTCCTGCGGAGTCTAGGCGAACTTGCGGCATCTGATCCTACACTGCTCGTGCAGACGCACATATCTGAGAACGCCTCGGAGATCAAATTCACACACGAGCTCTTCCCGGGGTGCAACAACTACGCCAGCGTATATGACTCGTACGGGTTGTTGTTACGAGATAGAACGGTGCTCGCACACGCAGTACATCTGGAGAAGGAGGAAGTCGAACTAATCGCTGAACGCGGCGCCGGAATAGCGCATTGCCCGACGAGCAACTTCAACTTGCGCAGCGGTGTCGCCGACGTCGGCGCCATGCTCGATGCAGGCATCAACGTCGGCCTCGGCACGGACGTCTCGGGAGGATTCTCAACATCCATACTGACCGAGATCCAGCACGCGTCTATCGCAGCGAAAGTACGCGCACTGCTCCCTGGATCCTCCCCTTCGCCAACTTTCGTCACCGAAACGTTCACTGGCAAGCCTTTCTCAGTGGCAACACTCCTACATCTGGCCACACTAGGCGGCGCCCGTGTATGCGGTCTTGCGTCACGAATAGGCGCACTCGAGCCCGGGCGTGCCTTCGATGCACTACTCGTTTCTGCTCGTGGCGATGCAGGAAACCCACGGCTATGGGGTGCGGAGGAGGATGTCGAGTTTGGTCTGAAGAGAGACGGGGAGGGCGAGAAAGCCGAGCTTGAGAGGTGCTTGGAGAGGTTTTTGTTCACTGGGGATGATCGGAATATCAAGAGGGTGTACGTGCAGGGTCGGTGGATAGGTGGCGCCGAGCGAAAGGCCGTCTAGATGCGAGAGCGATCGTCGGTGATTCCCTAGTAGTAGTACATATGTACCCAGCTTCATAGAAATCGGGACTTGTCGAGCTGTGCACATCCTGTTAGCTACATGCTGCGCACCACTGATGACTATACCTATATGAGGGTACTGCAATGCCGAGACCATTGAGAGCGAGATAACTCAGCAATGTAAAGCCACACGCAGGCGCGAGTCATGTAAAGCATTACCCATGAAAGCGCACATCGAACTGGGCATATCCACATTATTCACATGAAATATTTGCACGAGCCCGCGCGAGTCAAAGCTGCCGTCTGATGAACCCCGTCGAGGTCCAACAAACGGCGACTGGGCCGCGCTGTGTCCATAACCTTTGTTGTGAGGACAAAGCAACATCATCAGCGGAGCCAAGAAAGGAAGGAGAGTCGGTCACGAGGTGGCACGCTTATTTGGCGCCCAACGGGACCCGAATACCCGAATAACGCACTCATCCGAGTCGAGTCTCCGTACGTCAAGAACAGGTCGATTTTGCAGTTCATTGAATCAGAGGCAGACGGACAATACGGGACAATGTACATGGTTACAAGATAGTGTAGCGAACAACGCCAACTACGACCTGCGACAGGTGGCACCATCGCCACGTAAAGATCGCGCTTAGCGGTCCTCTGCCCACTCCTGTAGCAGTTGTTAGTAGTGATTGACACGCCCGATCTCAGGCGACTCACGTTCTCCTTCTTGATCTGGGCCTGTACAATCGATGTGTCAGAAGCGATGCACGAGATGACCCCAGAAATGTACGGACCTCCTCTTCCGGCGTGAAGTCGTTGACGATGTTGAACAGCTTGCGGATCTCCTCAGGCGACTTGCCCTTGATCATGTTTGCCACCGTCTTGCAGCCGACATCGCTATAATTGAGTCGTTAGCAAAACGGAAAGGCGACGGTCTGATCAGGACCGATGAGCGCGCAACTTACAGTAAAGGCTTGATGTCGAGGTAGTTGGCGGCAAGAATGATCTCAAAGAGCATCTCCTGGTCGACGGCGATGAACTTCGAGTCCCATTCGCTGATGTCCGTTGTCCGCTTGCGGTTCTCGTCTTGCGACTCGTCAGCGGTGGGGAGCTTCTCTCCCCGATGGTGCTCGCAGTACTCCAGAACCTGATACGCCACAGCATGCGGTCAACATCGCGCCATCGGGCTGAATAGCGCACGAAGTGGCAATTACCTTCTTCATGACGCTTGACGAGACGTTGGGCAGCGGGATAGGCTGGTCGGTCTCACCGACATCTAAATATTATGAACACCAGGTGGCACGACGACGCGACTGATACGGACCCTCGAGCATGTTCTTGATAAGGACGGAGCGCTCGGCGACCTCCTTGTCAACGACAAACTGCTCGTTATCGGAGGTGACGAGAAGAACCATGGTGATTTGTACGAGGAAAGGCGGGTTAGCGGGAGAGGTGGTGGTACTGGTGTAAAACAGCAAGGCGCGCGCGTCGCGTTCTTGAAGGCTTCGCCACGTGGGGACGCTCAGACGCGCCACCACACTCTCGCGCAACCATCCTTGTCTCCGAACAATTAGGTCTGTATAATGCTTCCCTTTGGCTCGGTCCTTGGTGCTTGCGAGGCAATACGCTCGCCTTTTGCTTCGGCGCTCGGTGCGTTTGTCTCATTTTTTGTCCACAAAGGACGACACATTGACCGACATCACAATGCAGGTGCCGTGCGTACCGCCACAAAGCGAGCTGGAGGGTCCGTGCGCAACCACGGTGGTTCGCCGGGTAAGCGATTGGGCGTAAAGAAGTTCTCAGGTATGTGCACCCTACATCACACGCGCGTCATAATGATTCACCTGTCCCCGTAGACCAGTGGGTTATCCCGGGGAATATCATCGTGCGCCAGCGCGGTACGCAATTCCACCCCGGACAACACGTGTGTCATATATCCTTTGATGAACCAATGCAGATAATAATTCAATTGTATGCAGGTCAAAGTGGGCCGCGACCATACTCTCTATGCTACCGCCCCCGGATTCGTTCGCTTCTACAAGACGAAATGGATGAACGGCGAGCGCAAATTTGTTGGCATCGCACTCACTCGTGATGAGAAGCTCCCGCGGGACGAGGAGTCTTATGGTCGCAGTCGATTCTTCGGCATGGTCGACTTGAATCAATTCAAGGAGCCAGCTTCCGCACACCCGCCAGCATCAGCATGACATGTCCCCCAGGCCCAGGTTTCTTCGTCCATACACCACATCGTTTATAGTACATCTTTTTTCGTGATAATGTCATCTTCGGTCATGCTCTCATCGGGACACTGTTCAACATAGATCCTGGGATGCAGCTGCCATCATCGCACATAGACGCTGCTTCATCGACTGGCACAGCATTCATCACGCTACAATATAATACAGGTCCACTTCGATGTTCGGCACCTCGAGTCTCATCCTCATGCAAGTTCCAAGTAGCGCTCGACTATAGGATATTGTCAGCGGGATCCACTGTAGAGCCTGACGTTCATACCTTCCCAGTTTGTGACCGCCTCGTTCCACAACTTCACCTCATGCTCCCTCGTTCCACCGAAGTGCTCCACGAGCTCATCCCCGAGTGCCTGCCGCGCGATGCTATCAGGTGCCATCATACGCTTTGTCGCGGCCTCCAGGCTTTGAGGAAGCATTGTGACCTTGCCGCTGCGCTTGTCTTCAATTGTGAAATGTGAAACCGGCGCCGTTGGGATCTTCAGTTTCTTTTCAACCCCGCGCATGCCAAGTGCGAAGACAGCGGCGAGGGCGAAGAAGGGATTCATGTCAGCGCCGGGCACGCGCACCTCGAAGCGCGTCGCATATGTCGGTACTGACGGCGGCGAAATCACACGTACGGATGCCGCGCGAGAGTCGTAGCCGTAAGTGACGGCGTTCGGGGCCCAGAAAGCTTCTCCGCCCACAAGGCGCTTGTAGCCATTGATAGTCGGCACGAGCAGGGGAAGGACTACGTTCTCAATATCAGCTTGCGGGTAAGAATGAGCCGAAGTGCAGGCGTACTGTCAGTCAATCCATCGAGTATACCAGCTAAGAAGTACTCGGCTGTCTCGCTGATGTACTTGAGCTCGTCGTATGCGGCCCCCTTGCGTCCATCCTTAAGCTCCTCCTCGCTGACCGCAAAGGCGTTCTTGCCGTCTGCATCGCGTAGCGAGACGTGAATATGGCCGCTGCACCCGGGGAGATTGCCCCACGGCTTCGCCATGAAGCTAGGGATGATACCGTGTTGCATGCCGATGCTCTTTGCGACATACTTGAATAAGAGGGCGTTGTCAGCCATGCGCAGCGCAGACGTGTATGCAAGCGCCGTCTCATATACACCGGGTCCTGTCTCGGTATCTACACTCTGCGTTAGCTCACAGTATCAGCGACTCGTGAAGTGACGCTCACGATGCCCTTCGATCGGAATATCGAACTTGGCAGCTTCATCGAACAATGCGTGGAAGTAGTCGTTGTTGAGTTGCGTTCTCAGTAGCGAATAGCCATGCACTAAGTCTATGAGCGACGTGGTCCAGACCATAGGCAGAGGTGGAACGTACTTCCTGGTGTCAGCGGTGTAGGATCGCGAAAACCTTTCTCCGCTATCGAGTGAGGCGTCTCTGCGCATCAATAAGCTATCATGGCGCACAAGAGCAGACACTCCATAAGCACCTTTGAATTGGAAGTACTGTCATTCGGCATTAGTTCGTGATCTGAGGGGCGTCCACAACCTGCACGAACCTCGTACTCGACCCCAGCATAGCACTGGAAGCCCGACTGCTCTGCTTTCTCCACCGTCTTCCTGAGCACGCCGCGGGGGCATGCGCATATAGGCTCTTTGGTATCTGGATCGAGGAATGAGACAAGGAAAAACGGGACGTTGTTCTCCCATGGAAGCCGGCGATATGTTGATAGGTCGATTGTGGCCAGAATGTCGCGGTATCCGTTGCCCGAGTTGGAGATCAGAAGCTCTCGCGAGTAGACGGCGTCGTGCAAATCCCAGCCACTGAGCCGTGAAAGTTAGTCCCACGCGAACAAGACGAATAGGACTGGCATACAAGATGACGCTACAGAATCCAAAGCCGTCTGACTTCGCTGCGCTTAGGAACTTCTCCTTTGACTAGATAAGGCGTATGGATGAGCCTAGCCGCCATTACACCAGGCAGGGGTTGGGTGCGCACCATGAACTTGCCGCGAAGTACTCCATCGACTATCATACCAATGTCTCGTCAGCCTCCGCATTCTACTTTGAGTGCATACGAGCTGACCATCAAACCCTGCCGAGCGTCGATGTCAGCGACCGCAAGTCGAGAGCACGATCCACCACGCACCAGCGACCTTCACTTTGATGTCTTCTTTCAATAGGGCTTGTAGGTCATCGAATGACTTCGGCGCGGAGGAGGTGGCAGTAGACATGATGGTGCAAAGACAAGGTTATCGTTATGCCGTATACAGGATCTTCAGACACTGGACCCCAAGATTGTGGCGGCTCCGGATGGACGGTGTAAGTGCTTCCAGGGGAATGTTGTGATACGGCAGTCCGTCTTATCTCGGTAGATTGTAGGTACACGCGTAGCTCTCTTCACGTACAGCTGACGACCGACAGAGTCAGGTCGTAATGTCCCCCAAGTTGCGACATGATAAGCGCGGCCACAGTCAGGCGGGCGGTCGTTGCGGCGGGAGGCGCGTCATCGAAGGACGAGCCCGACGCGTCCGTTTTCTCCAACCCTCATGTCCGACGGATCTACCGTAACCTTCCAGCTGCCTACACATGTATCCTCATTGAGATACACTCACTCTCGGAAGCTCCTAGTTGGTTCTGGTATACACAGATTACACGATCGTCGGCTGGTATACTGAGTAAACTCCCCAGATGACGGAAGTCTGCGGGTCTATCATCCTCCGGATGTCAGAGTTGTAAAGGCCATTCGAGGTCTTGGTGACGAGGTGTCTTCCATCGCACTGCACAGGAAACCCAAAGGCGACGAGGATGAAGGCCGTGCTTGGGTAGCTTGCGGAACGCAAGTGAGCCTCAGTGTCTGCTACGGCATAGTCGTTAGATCATGACCGAACGGGCTTCAGGCTATTCTCTTTGACTATCAAGCTGAAAAGCTTGTCCTGACCCGTTCTGACGCTTTGGATACCATCGTACTTTCAGAGGATGAAGATGATGTGTTGAACGAGGTATGTTCTCGCTGTTTGATACTCGCCATGTGTTCACGTAGTCCAGCACTAGATCGCCGTGAACTCAACAGGTAAAACTCTGGCGTTTTCCACGGATAGCGGAGCGGTCGGCGTGGTTGATTTAGCCTCACGTCGTGTGCGTAGGATGAAAACGAGACACAGTAACGTAGGCCATCCCACTCTCTGGTGTTGTTCGTATGCTGATTGGCCCTAGATCTGTGGTAGTGTCAGCTTCATCCCAGGCAGACACAACGAGCTGGTTAGCGGAGGATATGACTCTGCATTGCTTCACTTCGACTTCAGTTTGGGGAATTTGTCTTCCAGACAGGATTTCTGTGCGCTTTCGAACATGGCTCATATTCTCACGGATGGCTAATATAAACGACTAGCCGCCGCACCACAGGCGTCGGGTATTTCCCTGTCTCCCCCGTTCGTTCTCTGCCTGTCTGTTCACACCCAGGGCATTTGCGCTGTCGGGACTGCCGATGGGCATTTATGGATTGGTCGCGGCGGTGAAGATCGTGAACGGGGGAAGTCATCGTCTACCAAACGAAAGAGGTGGAACGGCCTGGCCGAGGACCAAGCGCAAATGACCAGGGTGGCGGATGGCCCGATTGTAGCGGTGTATGCCTCTCTTGCTCTTATACAGTGTTCTAGCTGAACTAAACCCTATGTCAGGGCATTCATCGAATGCACCCAAGTACTGACTTGCACTCTGCGTGGTGTGCTTTCTTGTCACAACATCTCTGCATCAGACAGCAGTGGATCGTTCACCGTCGCGCCGATCTGGACGACACAGGTAATGGGAATGGAAAAGGTCAACGCGCTCTCGGTCAACCTACCGCATATATCCGTCGGAGGGTTCAACTCGCAAGGAAAGGGGTTGGTGGTTGTTCTTTCTCGGGATGCAGCTCCAAATAATGCCGTTCGTGAGGATTAGTATGGTGTAACATAAGAGCACTGTGTGGTGTATATGCAAGATAGGATACAAGGGTTGATCATACTACGCGGCTCTCTTCTGCCGGAAGTAGCTCCCCCTTCTCTTCCCGCTCCTTGTTGCGCTCTTCTTCCTCCAACAGTAGTATCTCCTCCCAAACTAGATCGCGCTCCGCACGCAGCTTTTCCAAATACTCCTCGGGAGTAACCTGTTTGACTCCCAGCCAGTTCATAAACCGCATGAGAAGTGGTCTTTTTGGTTTTGAAGGTGCTAGCGCCGGTTCAGATGGAGGCCCAGACGCGCGATTTCGTTCTCTGGAAATATATTTGAGACGCTGAACTCCGACCTCATTCAATGATATTTGCGCAAGTGAGCAAAAGGCAGCGCCGACCAAAGCCCCTGGTAGTGTTCCGCGAGCCAGCGTGTCTGCACAAATGAGCCGCATATACTACGCGAAGGGGTATGGTACTCACATCTACGCCAGCCAAAGAGACCTCCTGTGAGAGCTCCACTTAAAGCGACCTCGGGCAGGCCCCTGGACCGTAGAGCCCACCACGAGGCTGGCTCGTCGCCTCCGAACTCGGCACTTGTAAGCTGTGATGGGCTTGACTCCTGGAACTTTGCAAGAACAGGCTCCACCCAATAGTTTTTGAGGCCTGTGAAGACCGTCAGCCTTGTTGCGGCATGTATAGTGGTCATGACGCACTGAAGAATGTGGCACCAGCTATTGCACAGTTCACAGACGAGTCAATAGCGTACATACGCGCGACGCGAGTTCCTCGACCTCGTAACAAGGCGTAGCTAGCGGTCAAGCAGGCACCCGCGACGGCTAGAATCATATCGGTCAGGATGTGAGCGGTCGAAACTCGATATCATGGAAGACGAACTCGCATGTTATGATTGCACCCTGTGCGACAGAAAGAATGGCGGACTCGCTAAGCACCTCTCCCCGAGCATTGGTAGCGCCACCTTGAGCGTGTGTAGACATCGCGCTTCAAGTCGACGATGATGGTCAGGTTTCGGTCTGGGGTCGTGCGCACAACATCGGGACGCGCCCGCTGGCAACACGATCACCTGAGTCGCGGCAGGTGTGCTGCTCGTCCCGTCCCACCATCACCGATGCAGGATGCCCCACCCTCGATGAACCTTAGTCGGCAGCGAGACTCTTGCCTGATTATGCATGACTCTTTGTGTTGTCGTCCTTGGATCATGTTCGCAACCCGCCGACCATGATACGGATCTCGATGTCGTTCCGCATTGTATGCGCTTTGCGTTTGGTTTTGGATAGATCACACCTCCCGCTCCCCATATGTCAGCGTTGCCTCATGCGTGATGATATTTCGGTGCTATAAAGGCTTGCGTGTGTCTTTGACTGCCGCCTGTCCCGCCTTGCACTCCAAGCTGGCCCATTCACGCTCGTTTCACACGGTCTCTACCTCCTCCAATCCGCTCTTTACTCACAAACTCAGGCTATAGTCTGGGCACTATTACCAGTGTGCCCCAGATATATGAGCTCCTCATTTGGCTGTGGTCTTCTTGGGCTCGGGTCTTGCGCAGCCTCGTCGACTTCGACGAGTGTATTCAGCGTTAATTCGAGCCCAAGCTCTAGCTCGCGAACGCACGCAGAGATCATACCCCACTCGTCCACTTCCGATGACACCCGGTCTACATCGACTACCCATCCGCCCAAATCGTCACTCATGTCAACCGGTTCCCCTTTGTCTCCCGCGGTTGATATGAAATCTGGTAGCTCTACGTCCACTAGCATAATCACGGCGACAACAGCATCGACAGTGACTTCCTCCCTAATGACGACATTGCCGCACACATCAGTCGCATCGTCGAGCGCGACTGTTCCTAGACCATTCTCAGCTGTTGCGACGAACTCGCCGACGTCGAACATATCAACCCCAGCTGCCAGTGCACGCTCTGAGCCGCAAAGTTGGATCATTGCATTGATTGTTCTTGCAGTGGCTGCGCTCCTCGCATCTATTGGCGCTTGCATCTACGTGTACCTCAGCAGATGGCGGACGCCCAAACGTGCCAGTCTCTCACAGGACGTGATCGAGAGATACAGAGATGATGGCGCGACAAATTCAAGTCTAGGTGTGTTTTGCCTACTTTGGGAAGATCATTCAACTCATCTGCTCTCAGCGATGCTGCCTGGCACTCCTCGCTCGCCAATCTTCTCGACCCTTGACTCGCCATCAGTGTATACTACCTCCTCCGCGCTAGGATCCTGGACGAACCTCCCGTTGCTTACACCAACGCTGACGCCCGGTTTCGATGCACACTCTCAACAAGCGTCTGTGCACGACGCGGCATACTACCAGTCATCTGTGTGCATAGTGCCCCCCTCCGACGACCAAAGCCTTCGCGTGTCACGCAGTACCTCACTTGGCACGACTGTATCGTCTGAAAGTCACACGAGCGCATCGAAACCAACGACGGCAAAAACATTCGTCACCGGCGCTACGGCTGGATCGCGTCCCCCGCCTGTCCCACCTCTATCTGAGATACCATTACCACCCGTGCCCGTGTTGCCTAACGTGTCCCGTCCGCAATCTGCACCTGGCCACGCCCGCGCCAATACACAAACATCCTCCAAGACGTTTGATACAGCCGCTACCACTGGTTCCGTCGGCATAGTACGGACACCGAGCGTATCAACTTTGGCAGGTCCGCGTCCCGAATTGGAACACAGGGCTCCGCTGCCAACACCTGTGGTCCAGGGGCACGCCCGTGCGGATACGCAAACCTCTTCCCATACGTTTGCCACAGCCGCTACTCAAGGCTCTCACCCGGCGACACCCTCGCGTCGCCAGTCAATGCCCTCAGGGCTTGTACCCCATGACCCTTTTGCAAGCACTCGACCAGCGCCTCTAGCCGTTGCCGGGTTTCCTCACTGGCCTCCAACGCCGTCCGTGTACAATTGGCCGTCGCCTCCACAATCTCCGCCTCCACCTCCACCACCTCCAGTACCTCCCATACCGCAGCGTTCTCGTGAGCTTGCAAGGGTGTCTGGGAAAAGCACCGCATCCACGGCTCGTTCGCCTCCGTCCTACCGCACCGTTGCTGGCGGTCCCTGATGGCGATTCTTTCACTATCCTACTGGCGTTTGACCCGAGACGGCGCGCATGACGGCTGTGATATACCTGCGGATACCTCGCATTCTCATCGTTGCAGCGCGTACAAGAGATTGATTCATGGCGAGAGCGCTTATTATGGATGAATCGTATACATACCAGACGGCGTTGCCTTTGATCGTGGCGTGTATATATGTACTTCGAGCGCGCCATATCTACAAACACCACTCCTCTATATATCAAAGGATGCATACAAGAGATCACCGAGAGCACATCCTGCCTGCTCGAGTCATGACAGCTCCGGTCCAGACAATCGTTCGGGGAAAGAGAGGTGATTCGATTTTATGATACAACAGCAATGTACATCCAACATGTCTACACGTGCGCCCCTCCATGAATCCGTATACAATTAGTCACACCCTCACTCGTCCAGCCAGTCAAGGAACTGGGGAGTGAAGTACGTCAAGATGAGCGTAGCCCCCGCACGAACGATGCTCTCCGTCGTCTCAAACGCCATGTTCTTCAGGTCATATACTCCGGCTCTCGCTCCAGCAACAACCATAGCATACTCTCCGCTGACTTGATATGCAGCAAGTGGGTAGTCCGGGGCGAGTTGAACGGCATCGGAGAGCACGTCAAGGTACGGGAGCGCGGGCTTCACCATAATAATGTCCGCTCCTTCTGCCGTGTCACGTTGCTGCGTATTCGATCAGTCGCCGTACAACTACATAGATAAGCCGACTTACAATGGCGCGACGAGCAAGACCCTTCGCAGAAACAGGTAGTTGGTAGCACTTGCGGTTACCGAACGACGGCGCGCTTCCGGCTGCGTCGCGGAATGGGCCGTAGAGGCCGCTCGCGAACTTGGCCGAGTAGCTCATGAGCAGGCAGCGATTCCCATAGCCTTCCTCGATGAGCTTCTGCTTGATCATGCGAATGCGGCCGTCCATCATGTCACTTGGTGCAACGCAGTGGGCTCCTGCCTTGGCATAGTTCACCGCAACTTCAGCAATCCGGTTTGCGGAAGGCTCCGAGTTGATGGTTCCGTCATCGTGCAGGAGCCCACAGTGACCGTGGTCGGTGTATTCGCAAAGGCAGACGTCGCACGCTATGTAGAGGTCTGTGTAGAGCGCTCGGAGCTTCTTGATAGCGAGAATGACGGGGCCCTCTGGATCATCCGCCGGTGTACCAGCCATATCCTATATAAAATGAGTCATGTGGACAATTACTAGCACATGTGCAACTTACCTTCTCGCATTTCATGGGCACGCCGAACAGGATGACGCTCTTGAGTCCCTTCTTGACGAGGGGACCGATGAATTCCTCCAGGCGGTCAACTCCCCAACGGCATTGTCCGGGTAACGAGGGGATCTCAACGCGTGCAGAGGGGTCATCGGTGATGAAGATAGGGTACATGAGCATGGACTTGTCGATCTTCTTACGCGCTTGCCACTCGCGCGAAAGGGGGTGAGCATATCCGCCCTGGAGTACAGAACTGTAGACGCGTGTTTGATTAGATGATCATGACTTCTTTTGTGATCAGCAAAAGGTACGCACGAGATAGGGAGCTTCTGAGACATGGCCGAGTTTGGTGATGAAGTACGAAAGCTTAAACTAGCGGCCGCTCAATTGTGTCCTAGCCGAATAGCAGGGCGACGGCGTTCCTCGAACAGGGACGAACTATGTACAGAGACTCGCGCAATTGCTTGTCTGCGAGCTGCCTCTTAAGTATGCAGCCTCAGTGAGTGATGGTGTGAAGTGAGAAAGGTTATGCCAGCGCGCGTGGCAAGCGTGAGTTCACGGTTCCGCGCGGCGAGCGGAATGGTCGCAATTCGCGTTGGCCCCCGTGTTACCCGAGTACCACCATGTTCTCTCGCACGTCTTCTCGTGGCTGACAACCCTGCTTGCATGACACTTCTGTGTTATCTCTCCCATGGTCGTGGGGGACAAATGATAGTCATTCACTAAATCCTACAAACGCGGACGATTCCATTAGGGCACGTCAGCCTTGTTCTCGACACCATGTAAGATACCACGGCCACCTCCCGTCTGTCCACAGCGGACCCATCCAGGGAGACCTTCAAGCGCTCGTTAAGGAGTGGGATCTCGTAGGACCTACTTAGTGTTACGTCTTGACAGACAAACCGGCTCAAGCTCGGGCCTTGCCTGACCTCACAAATATCAATTCTCGAGCGCGGGATCTACGTACAGGATCTTCTGGAAGAAATGGCTGAACTACTCACGAGGATATCGCTCAGATGTACAGGTACCGATATACTGCGCCGGGCACAGCGCAGACTGACCGGCGTGAAGTGCTGCGTACCTGATCATGGCCCGGACCGCCTTCCATAATCGGTTTTTGACATCAATGGCAGTCGGCAACTTGGACTTCTACGTTGCGCTCAATTATGCCACGTCGCTTTTATTTCAACACCCTTCGGAAGATCTCCTTGCGTGGGAGAATGTTCATTTATGAGAAACGTGCTGTCGCCTCGTGTAGTAGAGGTATGTTACGGAGGTTGGTCCGGCCATTAACATTGACGCATGCCAGCAACCAGACGCAAGCACGGGCTGTCTCCCCGCCATCACTAGTGGAGATGTTGCTTTCTGGAAGATTGTCGGCAGCAGTCTATGTGGGCCCCTTTACGAATGCGAACCGGGAAGGAGGTCCTTTTCATCCATATTGAGCTTCGGTCTGCTCTGAGATCATCATATATCAGGTCGGATGGGGGCTTCCCGAGAATCCTATCAATCTTTAGCATGGCGCGAGCCGGTCCTTACGCACGTCTAGGCGTGAAACTTGCTTGAAAGTTCACCGCCGGCCCCGGCGGTCGATTATACATAAACTTGGGACCATGGCTTCCCGAATTTCGTCTGATCATACACATCTTCCCCATGAACCCGAAGCAGCTATCGATGCCGCTGTTAGGCCCTGTCCTCGCTGGTTTGGTATGTACTTCTGATTCCCTTGGCGGCCGTTCGCTCATATGCTTTCGCAAGGGGTCTTGCGTCTTCGTACACCGTCATCCGCTGCGGGGGGACACCGCAGTCGTCGTTGAGGTCTCTGCCATTGTCGTTTCATATCTTCTGCTGCACTTCCTGGATGGCGCCGAGAATGGCGCGGCGCTGCTTGCCGCGTTCAAACTTGTTGCACTCCAGATCGCGTCTCTCGCTCTCTTCACTCTGGCGTACAGAGTTTCGCCGTACCATCCTTTGGCGCGCTTCCCCGGGCCGTTCATCAACAAACTCACAAGCTTCCGCATGATGTACATTGTCTATTCCGGTCACCGGAATAGCTATATCATCAACTTGCACAAGCAATACGGCAAGTTCGTCCGAACAGGTGCGTAACCATCTAGAGCCTCTGCGCAACTCCTGGTTTCTGATCTCCCTGCAGGTCCAAATACACTCTCCATCAACTCACATGCTGCCACTGCGCCCATTTATGCGGCCGGCGCTCCTATGGACAAGAGTCCCGCGTACACTATGGGCAACTTGCCGGGTGAGGGTCTCTTCTGGATGCAGCACGTGAAGACGCACAACGAGCGTCGCCGCATCTGGGCGAAGGGGTTCACTCCAGACAAGTACGTATGTTCAGACTGATCTCATTGCTGCTCGTCTAAGACGGTCATAGTCTGGAACGCTACTTCAGCATCGCAGACCGCCGCGGCGACCAGCTCATGAACATTATCGAGAAGCGTAGCGATGCGAACGGCGTGGTCAACTTACAGGAGTGCATCATGCACTTCGGCTACGATGTTATGGTGCGAACGAGCTCGACTTAAGCTCCACTAATGCTTACATCCAACGCAGGGCGATGTGGCTTTCGGAGGTTCAACGGAATTTGTGCGTTGACCCCTCTTCAACTCGTCTTCCTCTCTCTGATCTCAAGTAGGAACTCATGCGCGACGGTGACCCCGATAACCTCTGCGAAGGCAGTCAATTGGCCGTCATTGTGTTTGAGATCCTCGGAGAGAACCCGTCGCTGTTCCAAGCCCTCGCTTATTTACCCGTTGCCGATGCGCTTGTTCGCCTCGATGCCCGTGCCGAAGCGAACTTGAAAGTGCGGCGCAGAGCCGGCGCAGTAGGCGATAATAGTGACCTCGTTTCGTATTTCGTAAGCATCACTGCGTGGAACTCATGTCCCTCTCTTGGTGCTGAAACGGATTTAGCTCGCCGCTGCCACTGACGATCAGGGCAAGGGCGCGCAGCTGTCTGACGCCGATGTGCGTCAGGACACCATATTCACCATCGCGGCAGGTACGCCTCTCGCTTTCCTGTTCGCTGGAGTCCTTTGCTAAGACTACGCAGGCTCCGATACAACTGCAGGCGTTCTCATCATCGCACTATTCTACCTTTTCTGCAACGCGGATGCATGCAGCAAGCTTCGAGCCGAGCTCGACGCAGCCTTCCCAGACCCGACCGAGCCTCTTTCGCACTCCATCGCCAACGAGCTTCCGTATCTCAACGCTGTAGTCGAAGAAGGCATTCGTCTCGGAGTGCCCCTTCCAGGTTTCCCTCGCGTCGTACCAAAGAAGGGTGCTCTCATCGATGGGGAGTACGTTCCCGGTGGGACGGTCGTTGGCGTATCCATCTACGCGCAGGCTATGTCCGAGGAGAACTTCTATCCTCACCCCGAGTTGTTCATTCCTGAGCGTTGGTTGCCCGGCGGTCTTGGTCCAGATTCAATCTGCCGTAAAGCGGCACAAGGGGCTTTCCAATTTGGTACGCGACGTCTCCCCTTCACCAGCAGTAACTCCAGCCTAACCCTCGACCGCTACAGGTGCCTTCAGCTGCCTGGGCAAGCCGCTCGCTATGGCTGAGCTTCGTGTTGGGATTGCTAAATTGATGCTCAATTACGACATCAAGTTCGCGCCGGACTTCGACCCGAAGGCATTCTTCGACGGTATCATCAATATACGCACAACCGTCATGACGTACCCTCTGAAGGTGCAGGTGAAGAGGAGACTCATCTAGGAGTCTGAAGCAGTAAACATCGACTGCATACTGTACCCGCTATAATCCCCCGCATCTGTACTTACCTCCCACATTCCCGTACTAGCCAATCTCCACCCGCAACTGTGACACCATAATGCGACACCACACATCATCTCTCCTTGTCTGCTTACATTCCAACGGACGCTCTCGTAGTCCGCCGCCTGTCACCCGAACGGTGACCCCAGACTATCCAATACGTATTCACTTGCATTCAAATACATCAGATCAACGAATCCAACTGCATTGCACACACAACTGTCAAATAGAGTGTATTCCACAAGAACATTAATCCGGGGTATAGTGACATGTAATCCAGAAGACTATCAGACAGACAGAACCCTTCAGTAACCTCTCCGTAATCGCTCGTTCTCCTCACGCAGCCTCTTATTCTCCTCCCGAAGATCGTGCAGGTCACCCATGTACTCCTGGAGGGAGTCGCGCATCTCTTGTCTCCACGTACTACCCAGGCGAATGAGGTCGAGGTGCAATCCGGCCATCTGCGCCTTATTTTCTAGCCGGAAATCGAGCATTGCGTCCTTGACTAGAGCGTGAAGCATGTTCTGTACATTCCCGCTTCGATCACGACTGGGCGAGCCATCCGCGACGCTATTACGCAGAGGTGACGGCGCCCAGGTTCCACTCTTCCGCCGCCGAGGCGTTAGTTGCATGGATAACGGCCGCTCGCGCGGACTCGATCCAACTTGTGGCACGGTGAGCGCCACGGGTACGGCATCATCTATCGAAGCTTGAGGATCGTCGTGGGCCTGAATTGGATCCCCTTGACCGGCGCACTCCGCCGTAGCGTCCGCCGCCTGTGGTTCAACCTCTGGTTGATCCCCCTCAACATTATTCTGCACCTGGACGGGTCCGATCGCCTTCCCTTTGCCCTTCCAGTTCCCATCCTGTATCCACCTCTCGACCTCCGGCGTAGCCATACCAAGCATGGATAGCCCCTTCCTCTGTGGCGTATTCTGCACGCTAACCGGGAAAGGCGGTAGCTCGTCCATTAGCCCGGGCGACGGTGTTCGCAGAAGTTCGGCGCCCGTTTGTGAAGGGGTACGCAGCAAATCTGTGCTTGCTTGAGATAACGTGCGCACGAGCTCGGGACTCATTCGCGCTTTGCCCATATGGGGCAAGTTTGGGACAGGTGGTACCGGCGAGCGCTCACGCGGCGTTGTGTTCACCGACGTGGGACGGGTTGTAGTAGCTCGCGGACTCGTACCGCCGCTTGACGTGGCCCGCGAAGTGGGAGCAGTAGTGGCGGGACGGGAGACGGTGGACAGCGTCCGAGTACGCGCTGGAGGGGGCCCTGTTGGCCCGCGAGGGGGAGGGCTACGCGCGGTACCGGGAGTGGATGTGCTGGCCGATGACGAGACTTTGCGTACGCGAATGTTCGGAGGTGTCCGGGTCGTAGTAGTCGCAGTCGGTGATGCGATCGTACTTCTAGCAGTAGTTGATAGAGTTGACATAGTGCGCGCTCTTGCGGTGATCGGTTTGGAGCCAACCACAGAAGCCGGTGGGCGTGGACTTGCGATAGAGGATGCACGAGCTGAATGCTTGATTGACAAGGGTGAACGGAAACTGGGACCCGCGGTCTTGCTCTCATCAGGGATACCATTTTGCGCTGTAGTTGATGCTTTACGCATTGCGGGCGTTGAAGGGCCTGGAGTGTTCGCCATGAACAAGAGTAAGGGAGACTGAAATCGTGACCACTTACCATTGAAGCGCGACTCCCCAGATACACTGGCGAAGAGACTGCGAGCGGTCTCAAATGCCTTCTTGCGTCCCACTACGGACTCGGAGGTGACGCGAGCGCGAACTGGGGTTCCATTCGGCAACGCCGACTTCCCTTCCGGGCGCACATCGTCCAGTAACGCCGTTGACCTGTGCAATGCAGTAGGGAATCTGAACTCGCCATCCATCTCTTTCTTCGAAGTGTCGTGCGGGGTCGGTCTGGTAGAAGTGGTACTACCGAGTGATGTGCGCAATGATAAGTCACCGGATAACTTCAACTTCTTCTGAGCAGATAAATCAGCCACGTCCTTGCTTGATTCGAAGAAGAACTAACTGTGACGCCCAGACATTGAACCCTGTCACCCAAATCGACCGTTTTGGGAGGCTCAACGACTCGCAACGACTGAACGAGTAGCGTCCCGCTCTCTGTGCCAGCATAGAGGGTAGCGCCGTCAGGAGAGAATATAAGACTTGTGAGGGCTGTGCCGTAGTTGTAGGAGCGTATCCGGCTGTGATAGGTATCAGTCAATGATACGACATCTATACTGTAATGTGCACATACCCCTTGTCCTTGTCAAGATCTATCAACGCAACATGACCCCCCGCGCAAGCTACGGCCAGTAACGTCTTGCTGAATGGACTGCAGGAGAGCGCCACAATGTCGCCGACGGCCGAGTCGCTCATAGGAATGATGCGGGAGGGTCCAAGAGGGCGAGTTATATCGTAGACGACCAGCTGGCGCGCTATTCCCAAGAAGAGGCGCACTCGGGAGTGGGGGTGGAAGGCGCAGGTCGTCACAGCAGAATCTGAGGGCAAGCCCCGAAGGAGTGTCTGCGAGCCAAGCGACAGGTTGTGCACAATAACCGCGTAAGGTGAGGATACGGCAAGAAGTGTATTGTCATTGGACAGTGACAGCGCGATGATGGGCTCTGAATCCGGGTGTGGCGGGAGCGAGTGGACGATCCTTGATGTGGACGCGGCTGATGCTGAGTGTTCGAGGAAGTGAACACCAGTGCCGGCGGCGAATATTATTGTGCCCTTGTCTTTGGAGACGACTATGGCCCGTATGTCCTCGCACTCGGGTTCATCGTACACCGTCTTCACGAATGCGCCCGACGCGTCGTAGCGGGCAATGGAATGCGCCGAAGCCAGATAGAGAGATGTCCCGTCCGCGGACCAGGCGCTGGCCGTCGGTCGGAACGTAGACTCCAAAGCGCATGTTGGAGGGAGACTTGTCGGCGGTCGTTTGAGACAAGAGGCAATGTCGGCAAGCACAAGTCGAGACGCGCAGGCAACCGACAGCGCCATCGTCCGCGGCGGTCGTCGCTTCAAGATGCAGGAAATCGAACGTAGACCTTGACCACCACGTGCAGGGCATCGTGTTTGATGACTTCCCAAGCCAATATCTACCGAATCCGACGAGTCCGAACTCTATATCGACCACCATCTCCATTGCTTGACTACTAGTGATTGCTCTGATGGCGAAATCTAGCACCAAACGACCGCGCTTCAATATGCCTACACAGGGTGCTCAGGCTGCAAAGCCTGACAACTGGGAACTTGAAAGCAAGAGACGAGAATTATTGAAAGCTTTCTACCACTCTAGATCTCAACTCGGCGGCGAGGTTGAGACTGATGATGGCGATTCTGATTGGGAGGATGAGACGGACTCGGATGAGTCGGATCCTTATGGCGAGAAAGCCGACGCTGCTTGGGACAAGCTGGACGCGGCCATCCAGCGAAATCCTGCTCGTTATGTCAAGCGCTTACGCCAGCTCTGGGAGCAACGCGTTCGCCACGAGAAGAATAAGGAGCTGGAAGATCTTACAAGCCATATCAGCGGCTTCTCTCAGTCATTAGAAGACTACTTGCACCCAGACGATATTGATGAACCCAGCGAAGAGGGGAGACGTATGGCAACATTCAGAGATCTATACCGCGCTGGCTTGACCGCAGTTTGTGAACTTTTTGTTCAAGAGGATGACTTTTTCCAAGAACGAGAAGTACGTGCGCCTATGCCCGTGACCTGACGCCCGCAGCTCACCGAGGAACAGGACTGGATCTCAGAAGTCCTGCGCATCATCGGACAGATTGTGCAATGGGGCACCATCGAGACTGAGGACCTGGGAAACTGGCCTGCCATATACGGCATTCTCAGGCTCACACGCATCACTTGTGCCAATGTGTGGGCTAACAGAGAGCGTCTGCTGGACGACGAGAAAAGCATCGTGTATGGGAACCAGAACGGTCTTCGCATATCTGTGGCACAGATTCTTTTCGAGCTTGATCTTCTCCAGTACGTCAAGTATCAATCAAGCTGATTGACATCTGACCAGGACGTCAGGGATAACAACGATCCAGCCATCCGTAAAGATATCCGTTCGACCAAGATTGATGTCCGGCGCCTAGAGTTCTTCGTCTGGATTTCCGGGTCCCCTCCTAACGACTTGAATCGCGCATTTTTCGGGCGTGAAACATTCATACCGGTTGCCATGTCCGACACACTCTTCGGCAAAGTATTGGAGACGTTCGCAGAGGATCCGGCGGACCCCAAAAACCGCACACGCGAAGCAAGAATGCACGCTTTTCTCCGCGACGACGTCCTCAGTGTATACGGGGCTGAAAAGTTCATGCATCGCTTGAACGCTTCGCTTCGCGAATCACGACTGGACATGCCCTTGGAAGGACTATTGAGCATGATCTGGGAGGTCGCCATATATCCTGTTGTCACGCCACACCTTCAGACCTATGGCACGTATATCGCTATCAGGGAGGTTTGTGATCGCCAGGCGCTTCATGGCGATACTGAAGTGGATCAGTGTTTGGTCCTTGCTCAAGCCTTATGGATATATCGGTGAGCATATACTATCTACGCTCCCTTGATCTCTTCAGAAGTCCAACTGCCCTTACAGGCGAACATTCACCCATCAGCCTGCTGCTGAGATCGCATACATTGTCCGCAATTGCAACGTCATTGAGCTCATAGCCCGCTATGTCCGCCTCTACGCCACGCTAGGACACCAGGCGGCCACTGGAGGAACTGATCGTGCGTATGAAAGACAATCTATCTGGTCTATGCTGAGAGTTCCCCACATCTGCTATAGCGACAAAACCTCTTCACATCGTTCAGATGTACGCAAGTTTTGCAGAGATCACCAACCTACGAAGCGGGAAGAACACTCTCCGTAAGACAATGCGCAACACACTGCGCCAGGACTGGTATCCCACACTTCACGTCCTTCGCACACAGCGTGACGATAAGCTCTGGCGAGGCAAGCACCGTAAACAGCTTACGGATCTCTTGATTGCCTGGACAGCCCTTGGTACCAGTATCGGGCTGGACGAGGAGACGGAGAGGCGGGACTACGAGCGCGAAGTCAAGAGGATGTCGATGGTGTGCGCGTGGAAGGAGTGCAAGTATCACACCGAGAAACCTCCCACGTCTCTTCACAGTTGCAAGGGGTGTGGCGAAGTCGTAAGCGCTCCATTCTTCCATCACTTCCGGACGGTACCAGGATCTGAGCGATACCTTCACAGAAATACTGCTCACGCGACTGTCAAAGGAAGTGAGTCATCGCCTGGTATGCATTCAGGTCCATGTCGGGATTGACCATATCATGTTACTATTAGGGACTGGATAGACGGCGAGCATAAGGCCCGCTGCCGGAGAATCAAGGACGCTTCAAGCGGTAGGACTGGCGTACTTCAATTACACTGAGTGTAGAATGTACTCGATACTATCATTGCAATTCTGACTTCTTCAAGACGTACTACGATCCAGAACATACAATTCCAGCCTTTCGTATTTCACATTCGGCATCAGGGAAGAAAGACTCAAGAAGAATACAAACTACTAGAGGGATAGAGGGCGTGAGCTCGAGTACTACTACGAGAGAGACGAGGGAGCAAAAAAGAGGAAGACGTAGGGTAAGTACGGTATAGCAAGACGCAGACCACGAGCACGAGAGATCAAGGAGAGGTGGTGGTCGAGGCAAGGGGATCAGGATCAAGAGACGTAGACGTGAAACGATATAGCAGTCCAAGCATACGAAACGAGTAAAAACGGCAGGCAAACAGTCAGAAGAGTATACATAGCACCAATAACATTATTTCCTTTCCCCTTCCCTCCTCCTCCCTGACAATTCAACCTCTCCCACCCCAACTCCCCGACCCCCGATTCCTCCCCCACCCCCTATCGCTCACCCGCTCAGCCTGCGGCGCCCTCGGCAGTCCTCCAAGCCCCAACCTCAACGCCCTCGGCCCGCTCGGCGGCGGCGCGCCGGCCCTGAGCGCCTGGAACGCGCGAGGTTGAGTCGGCGGGGCGCGGGGCATCGGCATCGTTGACTCATGATGAGGCGTGTGCGGTGTAGGGGTGGGTGGAAGGGAAGACGAGGACATTGACGTGGAAACGTGAATGCTGTCGGAGGGAACTTCACCATCTTCAACTTCTTCCGCAGGCGTCGACGACGGTGCGCGTCCCGCGCCGAACCGACGCTCGTGGGCCAACGGCGTCGTATTCGCGTTCGACATGTGCGGCGGCAGGTCCTTATGCGGTGGAGGATCCTTGCTCGACACCGCCGTCGCCAATGCGCGATGGTTCGTCTGTACGGCTTGCAACGCCTGGCGCCCCCGGGCACGGGAGAACGAGTCCGACGATGAGAATGCAGGGGAGACGGAGCGGCTGTAGGGCTGATCGCGGGCCGAGGGCGGAGGCGAGGATATACGCGCGAGCAACGAGGCCGTGGGAGCGGGAGAGGGCGACGCTGCTTTGCCGCGCATAGCCCACGCCGGCGCGATCGGCTTGGACTGGATGGGCGATGCAGGTTTAGACCATGCCGGCGACGAAGCTTTGGAATGAGCGTGACCGTACAGAGGCGATACGTCCTTCGGCCGCCCGAAGGTCGCCGTGGCGGGCGAGTGGGGAGTAAGGGTAGGCGAGCGCGAGGGAGCAGGCGGCGAGAACCCGTTGCTGTGTGGATGCGCAACTGTGGAGGTCGAGGTTGAAGTCGATGCGCCGGGCGAGGACGCCAGTGTGCGAATGGCGGCGGGCGCGCTGGGCGGAGAGACATCCGGCGGGCGGAACGTGAACGCGAAACTGTTCAAGCTGCTGTCGGGCTTGTTGTCGACCTTGGGCTGCTCCTCCGGTGCATTGTCGACCTTCGACTCCTCCGGCTTCTCTTCTACCTTGGCTTCCTCCACAACCTTCGGCTTCTCCGCTGGCTTCTCCTCGACAGCTTTCACCTCAACCTTTGTCGGCACATTGACAGGCGAGCTCGGGCGCGACCATACAGGCGGGGGCGGGACGTAGAACGCGGGTTTGGCCGGTACAGCGGCGGATACGGATGCAGGCGAGAACGAAGTCTCGTCCACAGCAGTCGTATCCGTCTCCATCGTCGTGTCCTCCTCGCGCGTCGCGAGATCATCAAGCGCCTCAGCCTTCACGTCCACACTCATACCCTCGTCCTTAGCACTGTCGCCCGAAGGACCCTCCAAAACAGGGCTCTTAAGGACCGCATCGCCCATCTCCACATCCGCCGCCGCCGGTGCCGCCGCCATCTCGACGTCCGCTTCCGGCTCGGGAGGGGCGGCAGCGCGCGCCTGCTCCTGCTCCTCCCTCTCGCGCATCTTCCGCAGCTTGAAATCCTTGAGCGAAAGCTTGACCTTGGGCGGAGGCGGGGGCGTCGGATCTCGCGGAGGCGGGGTGGGCTCTTTAGGCGGCGGGGTGAGCTCGCGCGGAGCGGGCGTTGGATCTCGAGGCGGCGCGTCTTGTCGAGCGGGCGTGGACTCTCGGACTTCCCAAGCGGGCGACATCGCGTCCATATCGGGCGGTGTTGGGAGGAAAGGGACCGAGGAGCTCCTCGAGCGTACGATCTCTTCAACCTCCTGGGGCGGCTCGACCATCTCCTCGTCTTTGGTAACCTCAGCCACCGCCTCGACTACCTCCTTCACGTCCTCCTTCATCTTTAACCCGGCGCTCACGTCTTCCATCCGTTCATTCGGCGGACTCGTGAGTGCGCTGCTCGGTTGTTCGCTCTCGTCCCGCCCGCCCGACACGGTGGATTGTGGTTCGGGCGTGGCCTCGGGCGAGGCAGGTACACGACGCAAGGCTTGAGGAATGCGGACGCGTCGTTTAGGCTTGGACTGAGGTTTAGGCGGCGGCGGTATCGGTTCCTCTTGTGGAGGGGGCGTAGGATCCGTGGTCTCGACGACGGGCGGAGTAGCCTCGCTGCGATCTTGCGGGCTGACGGGCGCAGAAGCGGGTGAGGCGGGCGCTTCTTCGCCTGCTAGCACATCGGGCGGTGGAGATGCGGGCGTCTCCTCCACGTCGACCTGAACCTCCGGTGTAGTCGCAGGCCTGTCAACCTCCATCCCTCCCTCTTCTCCCTCGCGCGTTACCGGCTCCTCAACTTCGACTTCGGGCTGAGGCTCAGGCGACGCGCGCCGCTTGCGCTTCCTGCTCTTCGTCGATGGTCGTCGCATGATGGGCGAATCAGGGAGCACACTCTCTTCCTCTCCATCCACCTTCTCCTTTTCTTTCTCCTTCTCCTTCCTCTTCGCCCGGCCCTTGCCCTTCTTCGCTCTTCCCACTGATGCAGTCGAGGTCGACGCGGGCATCTCCTCGTCAACAGGCGTCTCGTCGGCTGGAGGCGGCCATCCCATGGCGGGGGGAGCAGCGATAGGGGAGACGAGCGATAGATGGCTGAAGGGCGTAGAGGGGCTATAAGGCTCGGGCGAGGGCATCGTCATGCTCGTCTTCATCCTCTTCCTGCTCGAAGTCGGCTTCGCATTCGGTTGATTAGGCGACACGCGGCGGCCAGTAGCGCGCTTGGGCGGTGGAGGGGGCGGCATGAGATCTTCGTCTGCGCGAGGGGTGTTGTTGTGAGTGGAAGTGATATCGCCCAGCGGTCGCAGAGGCACACCTGAAGGCTCGTTCTCCATCGGCGCTGATGAGGATGAAGGCATCGTCGCGCTCCGCTTGCGCATCTTGGGCGGCAACATATCTTCCCTCGGCAGCTCGACCTCCTCGGCGGCACCCATCCGTCCATTCTCCCTCGCGGCAAAGTTCCTGCGCTTGCCCACCAGCGGTCCAAGATCGGGTTTATGTGGTGTGGGGATCGGGAGGGAGCCGTTCACAAAAGCGTCTGCGAGGGCGAGGGCACAATCTGGGGCGGCGTGCCCACAGGCGCAGGAGGTGAATGTACGGCCGAGCGAGTGGAGCATGACCCGGAGCTGGGATCGTATCTGGTCGATGCGTTCTGGTCTGTAGAACTGTATTAGTCACATTCCGGGAGGAAATATACTAGACAACATACGGAAATAAGTCGGGCGACTTGAGCAACGCTGGTAGATGATGGATCGTGTTTCCGTCGTCCCACTCCCAGCCGAGGACGACCTCCTCGCCGGCCTTGACATCCTTCAAGCTGAATACGCCAAAGCTGATGTCCGTGCCGTCCTCCTGACCGGCCTTTTCCTTTGCACTAGGACAAATGATGGGCCTAAGAACAGCGTTCGGATGGCAGCCGCTCCTGATGAACCTTGCGTTGTTGCCGTTGACGCGGGCGTCGAGGGCGAGGTTCAGAGGCGGGCCTATCAAGTGAACAAAAGGGCGAGGCATGCCGTGCTGTGCGTAGGCGTTGAGGGGGTCAGCGAGATAAGCGGAGGAGGGGGTGATGGTGGACCGAAAAGGCTGGATGAATCGCTCCGAGGGGATGTTGCTCTGGGCCTTGATGGCAAACTCGGTGGGCCATCCGGGGAGCTGGCCGACGGCAGTGCTGGCCGGCGGGGGCTCCTTGTCGACGAGGACGGGATCGAGTGCGCTGAGGCCGCGCCAGGAGTGCGCCTGCGACCTCAGCCGCTCCCGCGCGTCTCCGTCCTGGACCTCGTCCTTGACGATCGCAACATATAATTCGTCGACGTTGACGTGCTCGTCGCCGCCCTTGCTCGTCCTCCGCCCTCGCTTCCCGTTGTTGCCGTTCAGGATGCTGGCCCTCGCCCTGGACCGCACCGGTGATGGGGGCCGTTTGCGGGACAAGTTCTTCTGTACCTGGCGCTGGATGTCGTTTGCGCGCTGGACGTTGACTGTGCGGCCTGTGCAGGACGGGCAGAGCCACTCGTTTGGGCAGTTTGAGGACGAGACGTTGACGCAGGCGCCGTGGTACCACAGCGAGCACGAGTCGCACGAGATGCTGAACCCGTCGTCGTGCGTGTACTCGCACACGCAGGTGATCCCCTCCCCCCCGTCCTGCGTCTCGTCCAGCGCAGCCTCAGACGCCGCTCGTTTCGCCGGGATGGATTTGGAGGAGGTCGAGGGCGTGGGCGGGAGTGGGGGCGGGTCTGGGTTCATGGCCATGGAGAGCAGCGCCGACGCCGCATCTTCCTCCTTCCTCATCGCCAATTCGTCGTCGTGGTGGTTATTGGCAGAGTCGGGCGAAAAGCGACCGCTCCCGACTCGCCCTCGGACTATACACACGCAAACATTTCCCTTTTTCTTAGCTACCACCACCATCCCCTCCAACCACATCCCCTTCACTATCGAATTATACCCTTCATTACTCTCCTCCCTCTTGTGGAATGCCGATTGTGCACTCTTAGGTAGCGCCAGGTGTGAATGGAGGCCGTGGTGGTCGAGGGCGGGAGGAAGGGGACGGGCGACTCTTTTTGGCAACCGAAAAAGGCCGTCGCCGTCGCTCGACTATTTGCTACCTCTATCTCAAAGCCATACTCGATATTTTCCTCCACTTTCCATGGCGCAGGACGGCGTTGGGCGCGGGCATCGTTTCCCCCGTCGAGCGCGGGCGAGCGCGTCGCGCTCCACCACTTGGGCGGGTCTTTTCGATGCAAGCACCAGGGCAGCGTCCATGCCGTGACCATGACACCCGACCCCGGCGCCTCTTTACAAGAAATATGAGGGCGTGTTGTGCGGCAGTCGCTCTGCGCCCCTTATCGCTGAGTGCGGGCTGGCGCGCCGCGGCGCTCCCTCTCCCGCGGGATGCGAGCCATCATTTCCACCACCCTCCGCCTGAGACCCCTCCGATCATATCGCTTAGAATACCCCGCGCGAGTAATGTCCATGGCTCATAATCCTATGGTGTTTACCCTCGCCGCCTCCCTTCGTCACAGATGACCCGACGCGCAAGAAGCGCCGGAGCTGCGGCTTGAAAGAGCAATTGTATGGCCTTTAGAGTATCCGCGGGATGTATAAGTCGATAGTCTGAGCGTATTCGTCACGCGCGCGACAGCGGTGGCGCCTTCCCCGCACTCTTCCCTCTATAGACCTGTCCCTGCGCGTACTGCAGCTTGTCCCGCCCGCGACGCGCAGATCGCAGCCCCGACCGACAGCGCCCCCGTCGCCTGCGGCGCCCGCGCGAAAGTGACTGGGTCGCCCAGCGGAAGCAGAAATCCCCCCTTCACATGATTGCTCAGCGACGCGACAGCGCCCGGCGCTTGATAAGGCCCATTTCTACACTCGCAAGCTTCGCGAGAGAGTGCGCAATTGTGCAGCGGAATCTGGCGAAGGACCCTGGTGCGATGGATAGATGATAAGAGGATGTGCGCGAACGATGAGGGGATGGAAGCTCGGATGGACGTTCTGCTTGTGGCGCGGCGGCGGAGATGGTGGCGTGCACACCGCGTGTACGGTCCATCACGCATTCTGGACCTACACCACACCTCAATCACCGCTATGGCTGTGACTCTCCCTACAAGCATACAGCCATCTCAAACACTTCTCAAACCTCCAGTGCTCTCCGATCTTACAGTGCATGTCCCCCCTCTGAAACCATGTAACAAACCAGACGTCCACATTCCTTCCTCAAGAAAAAAGAGTGAAAAGGTATAAACTCCCGCGCGCCGCACGGGCACAAGCATGTAGCAAAAAGAAGAGAGAAAAAGGTAATAAAGATAGTTTGTGCTCGTATTCGTAAAGGAGCGGTGCGCGGGCGGGTGGTGGACGGTAAAGTACAATAAGTTAGGCGTCGAAGGGTTCGTAAAGTAAAGTGTGAAATGCGCTCTGAGTGGAAGCTTGCCTGGGGCCTCCGAGCACGGTGTGAAAGTGAAAGTGATTCTTCGTTTCGTGTATACTATTCGTGTCTCAGGTCGTGTGCTCGCTGCAGATATACCATCAGCGACAGTTCAATTGAATGACCCAGATCATAGCTCACCTAGTTGAACGTGCTCAAGGGTAGCGCGGGTAACGACCACTCTGCGGCACCGGCGCAAGACTGCTCCTCCTCTTCGCCTTGTTGTTCATCATAGCCCTCGCATCATGTCCACCAAAGCCCTTGAACAGCCCGCCTCCGCCCTCAAGGCACTCAAGCGGCGCCATACCCTGTTCGCCGTATGCGTTCTGGCACAGCGCCCACCCATCATCGAATGCATGGAGCACAGCGAGCGTCTGGCCAATAGCGATGCTCAGCTCATCCGCGCGGGTAGGGATGAATGTGACGCGGACGATGGCGGTGGGGATCTGGGCCGTGGCGGGTGTAGCGAGCGCTGTGCGGGGTGCGGCGGAAGGAGGCTGCTGGTTCTGGATCGGCAAAGACTGATTGACCGTCGGCGGGCTCTTGCGCGTCGCGGCGCGCGGTGGGCGGTCGGGTGCCGGGCGACCTCCGCTCGGGCGGCGCGTAGGGCTGGCCGAGCGAGCGCGGCCGGCGACCCCATCGCGCTGGACGGCCGGGTCCGGGCTGCGCGTGAGCGCGCTGGGAAGGCTGTATTGGCTCTCGGGGCTTCCATCGCTCCGCGAGCGGCCGTGACCGGCCGTCCTGCTGTTCTTCCTTCCCGGCAACCCAAGCATGAACGGGCTCGTATGCGCAGGTGCGACGGGCACACCCGCAGCCTTCTCGACATCCAAAGCAGCAGGCAGTGCAAGCGCTTTAACGCCGGCACGCCAAGTTGCGCGGCGAGCACGACGCTTGGCGAGCGCGCGGCGGCGGTAGAGGAGGACACCGATGATGTTCAGCGCTAGGACCACGCCGATGACGATGCCCGCGATAGCGCCTGCAGGTAAGCCCGAGCTCTTGGATACTGCGGCAGCCGAAGCAGAGGCGGAAGATTCCGCGGCGGCCTTGATGCCTGACGGGACCGCAGTGCTCGTAGGATCGGCGGAAGACGTGACCGAGGCGGATGACGCAGCCGCGGCGGTCGTGGAAAACGCTGCGGCAGTCGTCGAAGCGCTTGGCGTGGGGCTGGCGCTCTTTGTGCGCGAGAGGAAGGAGGTGCTCGTGCTCGGGACCACGCTCGACGTTGGAGGCGAGACGAGGATCGAGCTGGTGATGACGTCCGTCACCGTGTGGATCAGGTTGATCTGCGTGCGGGGGCCGTCGGTGCCGGAGAGCGGGGAGAGCGTGGGTTCGACGACCTGCTGGACGATCGTCGTCGTGAACACATCCGTAACCAGAGACATTCTTGAAAGTTAAAGGGTCGAAAAGAAACAGCGAACGAAGAAACGAAGAAGAATAAGATAAAAAAGAAAAGCAAACACAGAAAGAAGAAAGAAAGGAAAGCGGCCGTTGACCACCGGGCGTTAGGTGAGGAAAAGAAAGAGGCGTGCGAGGCCAGTACGTCCGCGTCTTTATAGCGACTGATGGGAGCAGCCGAGGGCGGTGTGCTGCCATCATCGACGAACTCCTGTAATTCGCTGCGCAACGGTCAAACGTACGGATCCGTCACGAACGTCCCATCATTTCAAGATCGTACACCAATCGTACGCGGCACAGCATATACCGCATGCAGAGATGGACCCTGCTTCTGGCCATGATCATTCAAATCCAAAGAGCCCAGCGACGAGCGTTGGCGAAGGCCGAGGCGACATGGTAGCGCTCGTCGTCGTCGGGACGAAAGGCGCGAACAAAGCTTATTGATGTGACGGCCATCACTGTGGCCTGCAGGCCGGCGGCCCGCGCCTCGGGCACGCGACGCCCCCACAACTTGTTGGCCTGACAGTTCTGAACTGAACCCCCTTTTGACCGCCCATACCACTAGCCTGTGTTCTTGTCCTTACACCACCATCTCCACTCCGTGTCCCCGCGGGCGTGTCTTCCCGCCCATATCCTGTAGCCTGTATATTTCATGTCATACCCGCACCCCATGTCGGTGGCCACCGTGCCCGGAGCTGCCCAGATGTCTGTGCAACAGAAAGAAGGTACGCCGCCCATGGTCGGACGTCTTGTATCAATTCAGTGGTGCTGATGTCTATTCGACTTGGCCCAGAGTTGATCTCCTCGTTGCTTGCCTCGTTACCCCGCGCCAGTCTGGTTCGCATCAAAGAGCGCATAGATCCGCTTCTCTTCGTTGACATTGTTGGCGTGCGTGTTGTGCTCCGGTCTCCTTACCACTTCTCACTCACAAAGACTATGTATAGCGCGTGCCGGATGAAGTTGCTCTCCTCGTGTTCTCCAATCTGCCATGTTGGGACCTCTTACGCTGCCGGCTTGTGAACAAGCAGTGGCAGCGCCTAGCCGACGACCCCATGCTGTGGCGAGGCCTCTGCGAGCGGCGTGGTTATCGCTGGAAGGAGCCGAGCAACGCTCTTCAAACCACATCCTCCAGCGACAACCCGCACTCGGACGACGAAGGCATGGGAGACGAAGAGGAGCTCGACATGGAGCCCTTCTTAGATCTCGCTGACGACTCCGGGTTGGCAATGGACGATACCTGGGCCGATTCAGACTCGGACAGCGATTCCGTAGCGACCATGCGCCCATCCTCGTGGCTCTCAGCCTCCCCCGCACTCGTTTCGCATGCGCGCCGCTCTGCGTCCCCCGCACCCGGCGTTGCTCAGCCCGACTGGCGCCGACTGTATCTGACGCGTACGATCCTCAGGAGGCGGTTCTTCAGCGGCGCGTTCCGCCAGACGAAGCTCCAGACACGGGGCACACACAACAGTCACGCGAGCACGATATACTGTCTTCAACTGTACACCTACCCCGAGACGGGCGTGCAGGTGCTCTTCACCGGTGAGTATTGCTGCTCCGCGGTTTCACGTCTTATCTTCGGCACCACCGGCTTGGACTTGGCGAAGGAGCTGACGCTTCTCGTTTGTATAGGATCGCGCGACCGAACCATCAGAGAGTGGAACCTCGCCACAGGCGCTGTCCAGCGCGTGATAGAAGGCGTGCACGAAGGAAGCGTACTCAGCCTGTGTGCGCGGAACGGACTGCTCGCCAGCGCAGGCAGCGATGGGCGCACGGTGCTCTACGAACTGGCCACCTCGCGCGTCTTGAACGTCATCCAAGACCACGTCGACAGCGTGCTCTGTGTCCGCTTCGACGACAAGTACCTTGTTTCATGCTCCAAAGGTGCGTGCGACGCGCTAGCGGCGAAGTTGCATTCAAAGTTCAAACGCTAACATCCTGGTGCCACAGACCGTTCCGTGCGCGTCTACCGCCTCCACCCGACACTTACACCGCATCAAGTTCTCCTCGGCCACCGCGCGGCCGTCAACACCATCGCTCTGTCGGCCGATCACGTCGTCTCCGCTTCCGGCGACAAAGCTGTGCGCATCTGGGATGTCGAGAGCGGACGACTGCTTGGCGAGATGGAGAACCACCATACGCGCGGGATTGCGGCTATCGATGCGGCGTACCCCGCTGTGGTCACCGGTAGCTCGGACCAGCATATCAGGCTTGTGGATGTGAGGACTGGAGAGGGGTGGAGCACGGCTGCGCCATATGAACCCGCGCTGGCGTACATTGACGAAGAGGACGAGAACGCACCCGACGCTCATGTACCCGGACAGATTTGCGCGTCGTGCGGTGCCGGGGCGAACGACGACGAGCCTCAGCCACATGCATCCCATACAGACCTTGTGCGCAGCGTTGCCATGGACGCGGACTTTGTCGTCAGCGGGAGCTACGACCATCGCGTCAAGATCTGGTGCCGGCGTACTGGCCGGCAGCTGGCCGAACTCTCCGGCGGGCACAGCGCGCGGGTCTTCTGTGTCGATTTTGACGCAACGAAGGTCGTGAGCTGTGGCGAGGACCAGAACATCGTCGTGTGGAACTTCGCGACCGGGCTTGAGACGTCGTTCATACCAGTCTAGCTTCCCAGTGCTTTGCTCTCTAATTTTCACACAGATTTCAGCAGTACCACTTCCCTCCGTCCTCCGTCAATACTTCAATATCCCCATATCACGTCATTTTCTCGGGTCTCTTGTCAATCGTCCTCATTCTGTTTCAATCGGCATATTTCATACATCCGTCACGACCTCCGCTGCATGTCTGTGCTAGCTTCACGATGCGCTACGATCTCCCCTATTACGATCTTCTTCACGAGGTTGATACCCGTACGAAATGCATTCAATACGAACTACTCCGAATAAATATTTCGTTGTGCCGTGAAGTTCCTTGTTCTCAAAGAAGCTTTACATCCGGTGCATAGCTTAACGGTACTATAGCTCAAAGGTGCCCGTAGTCAGTTGAATATAGGACGCTTCCTCAGGCCGAGCTCGTAATTTTACGGCAGCGCGCCTTATGCTCCCCTTCCCTCCAGTCTCTGTTGGTAGGTCAGCTTCTATCCATCGCTGACGTTGTACTAGGTAACAACCCACTTTTTCTGGCACGCGAGAGAGCAGTATTTCTATGTGGCGTGTCAGAATACGGACATTACTCAGTCGACACGAATGGTGCTCACAACTTCGCGGCAGCCCTTGCAATGGTTAAGAGGTGTGGGAGGTTTCTCGTTGTGATACTTGCACTCCTTCCATGCGCAAACCATCGACCATCTCTTGAGCTCGCGTTCGTAGTCTCGCTTCTCGGTCTCCTCCTCCAGCGCGATGGCGGTGCCGAGAGCCGTCCAAACCTCCGTAAGATCAGCCAGGTGTTTGCGGTATTTGCCACGCCAAAGTTTATCGTCACGCTGCGAATGCAAGACATGCAACGTCGGGTACCAATCTTGACGCAGAGTGTTGCGCATCGTTTTACGCAGCGTATTCTTGCCGCTGCGCATATTGGTCGCCACTGCGAAATTTCCGTACATCATGACGATGAGTAGAGGTTTCGATGCTGTATGAATGACTGTTGAGTGGCACACAAGAGCTATTGCACGAATACGCACCGTCAGTCCCTGTGGTGGCCATCTCGTGGCCTAATAACGCGTACAGGCGCACGTAACGAGCGATGAGCTCTATGACATTGCAGTTCTTGACAATGTATGCGATCTCCGACGGAGGCTGATGTGTGAAGGTCCTCCTGGAGTATATGTTATACAGAGACATTCGGTCCTCGTCTTGTATGGTCTCACCGGTATATCCAAAGTGCATTCGCCAGAACGCGACAGTTGTCTATCTCCTGAGTGCCCTGGAGAGCCTGTCGATTGCACGCCTCGCGAATGGCGAGATACGTTCCATAGGTTTGAAGGTGTGGCGTAATGGATGGGAATACAGCGAATTCCGAGAGGCTACTGAGAATAGACTCCAGTCGTATACCAAGCTGCGCTTCCCGGAGTGAGGCATTAATGCGAGTCAAGAACTGCTCCGCTCCATAGACTTCCAAGATCTCCTGGCGAATAAAGTCGTCCAGCCTCGAATCGTGATTCCTCTCGCGAGGATCGTCGGGGTCCTCGATGAACGTAGTCAATACGTTCGAGAGCAGAGTGTCGGCCAGGCCTGGCGGCACAATCATGTCGCGACCGAGTATAGCTCGATTCAATTCATTGGGCGGCGAGCCGACAATCCATACATAGAACGCCAAGCGGCGTACGTCGACCTTGAGCTTCCATACCTGTGTCCGGTAGGTCGCCTTCTCGTCACTGATACTTGATTAGCAAAGCCACACGAGGTTGAAATCATCTCCAGAACGTACGTGAGGAGGAAGATCTCGAAAAGTACCTGGGCCACGGACATCCTCAAGTGGTTGTGTGAGCCATAGGCGTTGCTCCTTTCATTCTGGAGTAAACGCTCGCGGTTCGCCCAGGCAGTCGTGCATGTGGCGCGCGCAAGCTTGATGATGGCGGGTAGACCAGACCAGTTCCCGAGATCCTCCGTCTCAATGGTGCCTCCCCATTGTATGACAGCGCCCACGATTCTGATGATTTCGCGGACCCAATTCTAGAGAGACGTTGTGAGCTGGAAGCCAGTCATAATAGCCACATGTGTTATACCTCTCTTTCTTTGAAGAAGTCGTCCTCTTGAACGATGAGGGTGCAGACTTCACAAAGTCCCGCGCGGTAGAGGTCTCTGAATGTACGCATACGCCGTCCCACTTCGTCCGTGCCACTGACGTCGTCGGGACCCGTATACTCTTCCAACTCTGCAAATCCCGCGATATGGTCCGACAACTCTTTGAGGTCTTTGTTCTTTTCGCCGCGGGCCCGCTTCTCCCAGAGTTGACGCCAGCGCCTAACAGCTTCGGCAGGATTGGCAGAAATCAACGCATCAATCTTATCCCAACGAGCATCGGCCAGTACTCCGTCAGGGTCGTCGTCGTCGTCGGAATGGTCGCTAATACCAGCATGGGCGAGATCACTCTCAAAGTATTCGTCTTGTAGCCTCATCCGTGTCTCGAACCAATCATCAGGCTTCTCCTGGGCACGCCCAGGCATCCTGAACCGAGAGCGCTTCGCATGAGACTTAGCCATTGCCAATAGTGCCACGCAACGAGAATGATGGTCGAGTGTGGACAAGCCACTCTTTTGTGGTATTGCTGAGCGAGGCCATCGAACACGATGCGCTGCACGTGGTGGCTGAGGTCTACGTTCGGAAGTTCATTCTCTGGTTGACGCCGACCGCCGCCGCCGCCGCCGCCGCGCGGCCGGCGCTTCTCGACTCTTGACTGTCAACTGCTACACCCCGTCCACGCCAACAGAGATTCTAGAGACTAAGGAGCAGTGCCTCTATTTTGGTCGCTCAGGCGACAGCCTCATGCAAACTACAATGATGCTAATACGCACAACTTCCCGCAGCCTTGCAGCTATGGCTCGTCGTGGGAGGTAATCAAGTGGCGCTGATCATGCAATGACCAATTGTGGATATATTTCTCAACCCACCAACAGCGATCTCTGGGTACAAAACTCGGCTTATATACGGATACTCCTACGTCAGGGTCTCTGTTGTCATTGCATCCCCACGTCTTTCAGACGCCTACAGCGCAGTTTATGACCACCGTCTTTCCAATCCCTGATCATACACCATGCGAGTCACCATGGCCGCAATATCTGTATGCAGACGAGCAATACGGACCTTCGCTGGCAAGTACGCGAACAGTATCGCTAATTGGTCATCGTCAGCTTTGTCTCATAGTCCTATCAGAGAAGAAGTCCTACCGCTTCATCACAACCCTTGCATGCTTGGAGCGTTACGGGCGACCTGTCTATATGATACTTGCATTGCGGCCATGCGCAGACCTGAGACTGCCTTTTGATCCTACGCTCATGTTCCGCTTTCTCTTGAGTCTCCTCTAGATCAATAGCCTCTCCCAGTGTTCTCCAGCCAGCAATCAGAGCTACTAGCTGCTCCTTCGAGGCGGCTTTGCGAACGCGCGGACGCGAGCTCTCAACTTGCAACATCGCGAGTGTGGGATACCATTCGTCGCGCAAAGACGATCGTAACACCTTGCGAACCGGGTTCTTCGCGCTCATCCTGTTGACGGCTCGAGAGATCTCAGTATATGAGCTCATGATCCCTAAGAGGACATCTGCACGAACTCTCAATCAACTCCAGGCGGATGTCAGATTACAGGAAGTAGACCCATACCGTCGCGATCCTGGCCAGCACTTGCACTGGCCACCTGAGAATATATCCTGCAAGTCCGACCAATGAGTTCAATCACTCTGCCTTGCCGTATGAGAGGACCTGGTCCCTCGGAATAGGCGGCATGATTCGTCATCCCGCTGGGAAGAGGTCAGCATCTTACTTGCACTTTCTCCTAATGAAACATACCGGTATATCCTGAGGACCTGGCGCAAAATGGTCCATTGACCTTCGTCTGCTCCGTGTAGCAGTTGACGATCAAGAGCTTCTTTGATGGTAGTGTACATGTCCACTGATGCAAGCTGAGGGACGATATTCGGGTGGCCGAGGGTCTTGCCGGCTGTGAGAAAGAACAGAGCCAACTCTGTGTCGATCACCCATGGTTGTTGCAGGGTGATCTTCAGGCGCCTGACGTAGTTCTCCGTGCCGTACACAGCTATAATGTCATGGTCAACGAAAGCATCTAGATCAGCGAATCTCCGTGCTGCCTCCTCCTCAGTCTCAGCGCTGCCGTCACCTGGGGCCAAAGTCAAGAGTTGCAGAGGCCCCTCCATCAGCAAGGTCGTTGCAGATTGCGCGCCAATGCTGCCGGACTTCTCTACTTCTGCGGAGTGATACCAGCAAAAGAACGCCAGCGGTCGAGCCAGTGTCTCAGTTAACTTGACCTCCGGTTCGTCTTCTCTATGAACATGAGATATAGCCTATAAGCCCTGGAAATAAGACTCTTTGCAACGTACGGAGCCTGTATAAGGGCACATAGAATCTTCCTCAAGCTCTGACGAAGCCTCACGACTGCGCCGGAGCAGTACTGATCCAAGTCCTTGTCTACGAAGATATATCTGTGAACCCATAGGCAGTCACAGACGCGTCGTGCTATAGCAAGTGTCTCGGGGACAGTTGGATCAAGGCCCCAGTCATCCTGGCGATCCTCATCAAGAATGCCACCCAGGTAATAGGCGTACAGATTGAGGATCTCGACGAGATAGATCTACGAACTCACTCAGCTTATACACCTTCTCTGGAGCGTACGTTGGACGCACCGGATGTTCGTCAAAAAAACCTTCGTCTGTGATCATGTCCGCGCAGAGATCACCGATACCGTGATTGCAGAGCCACAACCAGACCAAGCTTTCTTTCTCGCTTTCCCCCTCCCGGCCCATGCTTGCTACGCCCCGGGCGACTATCCAGAGATTTATGTTGACACCTCCGCGTTGACGACTCTCCCAGAGCGTCTTGAGACGATCTCTAGCAGCAAGAACGTTGTGGCACACGCCTTCTCTCATCTTGACGCCGAGCTTCGCCAGCTGCATGTCGAGCGCATCGATGTCGCTTAGGCCTAGCTCGGCGATGTCTGCGAATAAGCCTGTCATATCGCTGATTGAATTCTTGCTGCAATGACACGAAATCGACTTATTCGACGGACCGAGTCGCAGGCTTTCGCGTTTTGTTGTCCATGGCGGGCGCGCCTTTGATTCCGGCATCGTGATGTGAAGACAAGGTGGGAGCAGGCAGTAGATGGAACGTGAGAGTTGCATACGCTGCCCGGATGCACTTCGAGATCGGGTTTTCCCAAGGCTCGGTGACGCAAGCTTCACGAGAGATCTGGCGACGCGAAAGAAAAGCAAGGGTAGTGATTACAGGTATGAAGGGCTATGGGGTAGTATACAAAAGAAAGCCAAGCGTCCATGTAGCAGAAGACCCGAAGAACGAAAAGGCCTGCAAAACTACCAAAGATGGCTAAAGTCCAATGTGTGCAGAGATGTGTCCATGATGGGAGCCTCGCAAGCAGGCGGAATGAATGGTTGTGCTACAGAGACGAGCGTGATGGGTACGTGAGGATCGTAAGCGGGGAAGTTGTCCGTGTCATGTCATGAAATGTGGGGTAGATGTCCGAAAGCGAGCAGTTCAGATGAATGATGAGAGGCGTGTCCGAGAATGAGAAGTTCATGCAGAAGAGCTTTATGCTCCGATGACGGTGAACTCGGGGGACCAGTTACCGCTGTCGCCGAACACTGGATATTATCGTCAAGACTCGTTCAAGTTCAGTAGAAGCGCAATGTTACTCACAGACGATGCGGAAGTCCGAGGCAGTGGTGAGGTTCTCGGGAAGGGTGATATCCTGGCTACCGCCACGGAGGTCGAAGCCCTCAGCGAGTGCGGGCTGGTAGAGGGTGGTGTTGTCGCGCAGGAAGATCGCGGCGCCGTTGGAGATGTTCGTGGGCGCGTCATCGGTCTCCCAGGTGACGGTCACGTTCGCGCCGGCCTCCCAGACGGTGGAGGCGTTGGGGGTGAGGATGGTGGGGTCCCAAACATCGCGAGCGGCGTGCTGGACGGGGACGGCAATGGCCGAGGCGGCGATCGCGAGGACGGTCGTGGCAAAGGTCGTGAAGAACTTCATTATTGGCGAGTAGGTGAAGAGGGTGTTTGAGCGGATGAGTGAGTTTTGAGGTGGGTGAGGGTGTGCGATAGACGAAAGAGTCTGGGGAACAGTGAGCTTTCGACCCGCGACTTTTATAGTTTGTCCGCGCGGAAGGGCTCCAGGCTCCGCGGCCCACAGCCGCGATCCGGCGTCTAGCATGCTCTCGCAGCACCGCATTTCTCTGACGTTCTCCAGCATAGCGTCAGCGACCCCGACTATTGTCCTATGAAAACCACCCTCATGGACGTCTACATGCGCGTACACAACCACAGCGCTGCGGTCTCGCATTACTTTCTTATCATACAAGACTAATTCGAAGCAAGTACTGATCAAATTTCGAAGTGCCGAAGTACACGTAGAGGCGCTAGAGCGTACTGGAATAGACTATCGCTGCGCTTGCATCAGCACATGCCGGCTTTCGCAAGCCGCTCTCTGCGCTCGAAGCTTCGTGAGCAGGTCATGCTGCGTCCCGCCGAGCGCGAAAGAACTTCTCCACCGCGCGGATGGCGGCGGACCCGGCTCGTCGCGAGACCTATTGTTACGCTTCTTCGGGTGGCCGAATGGCTTAATGGCGCAATGACGGAAGGTAATACTGGGAGAAGCATCCGGATGACCTCCCGGTCTCCCCGAGTCGCCAGTCCTTTCAGGGCAATGGGTGCAATGAGCGTCACAATTCGGCTGAGGGCCTCGCGATATCGACATGGACCACCAGGCGGCGGGGACGGAAGCGAAAAACGATATCGCATGTACGCATTCAGCGCCCGCACCGGAATGCTGACTGCAGCGCGGTGCATACACGGAGCTGAATCGTGAACGCGCACAACGGAGGCTCAAGACCGTGTATGCCGAAAGGAGGTTTCTAGGTTCAGCGCCACAGCCTACGAACGATGCCACGAATGAACACCTCGGCTGACGAGACTGTTGCGGTCTGGATCGATGGACTGTGCGTGGTCGGAGGGTGTGGCACAGTCGTGGTCCGAGAGATGAGTGAGCGTGGGCGCCCGTGTACATTCACGGCTGACGAGCGGACACAAACGCCCGTACGTACCCACACAGGGACGGCCGCGGCAGCATTGAGAACGACCGAGACATTCATATCGATATCGTACATGCGCACAGCACCCGAAGCTACAGAGGAAGAAACTCAGCGAAGGCAAACCGAATAAGTCAAGACTAAAGAGAACAGTATGCGTATGATGCGTAAGGGGAATCCACGAAAGAGACGGATGCTGATTAAAGCCGCATCTCCTCATCGTTATGCTTGTACCGCTTCGGAGCGCCCGCAGCCGCGCGCCGCGGACGCTTAGATGGCGGTGGCGTGCTGACTTCGTCCTCGGATGGGGATGACGGGGCGGGAGCAGCGCGTTTCGACTTGAGCTTGGACGGCGCCGCACGCTGTGGTGCGGGAGAATACTCGCCCTCCGGGTCATCATGGAGCTGGTCGACCTCACGCTCGTCGAGGTCGGATGAGCCCGGCTCAGGCTTGACCTCGGTGCGCTTGCGCTTCAAGGTTGTGCCCTTCGTTGCCGCAGTGGACTTGCCCTTGCCTTTACCCTCGGCCTGGGGCTGGGTGCGTTCGGTCTTGAACTTCTTGCCCTTGGATTCGGGTTTGACGACAGGTTCAGACTTGGCGTTCTTGCCCTCGACCTTGACCTTCTTGCTTTCAGTCTTGACCTCCGGGTTGACCTTTGCGTCAACGTGGCAAACCTCGGCCTGAACGCCCGCACCGCACAAAACCTCCAGCCAAACCTAACATAAGACATGAGAACGATATGCGAGAGAGAGTTCACAACGGAACACGTACCTTCTGGTGTTGAGCCAATCTATCATTCGGGCTCTTGACTTCGGAGAGCTTGATATGCCGCTCCTCCGGATGCCAAAGAAAGAGATCCGGGAGACCGCTCGTGCGCCTACTGTAGTCCTCGCAAAGAAGCTCGCATAGCGTTGCCAGCGCCTCTTTGTCAAAGCACTGTCGCGTGTAATCAGTACTAGGGTCACAATCAAACGTCGTCGAGGGACGTACATCAATAATCTCCATGAGCTCCTCGCGTTCGTAGTCGTCCCACTTGACGCCTGTGCACATAGTTTGCTTCTCCCGATGCTCCGCGTCGACGCGCTCGAATATCTCCGCAGCTCTCCCATCTATGATGTCCCGTGAACGAGCAGCGATGGCATCGGCCCGCGTTGTAGCAAACGTCTCGTCACACATGTCGAGTGGTGCGATTTGGTACGGCGTTTCGAATGCACCTGGGATCGGGGCGAAGATGACATCCCAAAAAAGTATGCCGAAGAGTGTGCGAATGATACCACCCTCGCAATGGTAGCCCTTGTAACCAAGCTCCTGGTAATATTCGAGAGCGACTTGCTCGACGGTGACGATCTTGTCATCCTTTCCAATCCACGCTGTCCGGCCCGTGCGGGCAGACGGCTTGCCAGTCTTTGCAGGTGCAGGTGTAGGAGCCGCAACAGCCACCCCTTTACCCTTGGGCGTCGACGGAGCATCGGCTTTTTCTACCGAGTAGAACGTAGATATGGTCCCAGTCGGGCGGCCAGCCTTATCTAGCGAAAGATCCACGACGGTTTGTACCTGCGTCGCACTGATGCGAATCTCAGGCAACTTTCCGCGTTGCAAGGCGCACTTATGGCGGTTATCCTCGGGAAGTTTGAGCCATTTCTCCAGACGATGGAGCCTCTTATCCAGGTTCTCACGGTGAACTATTTGACGTCAGTATGCAAGCGCGCCGCAGGGGCCTTGTAACACATACTTATATGTGTATGAGGGTCCTTGAGAGCTTCGACAGTTGCCTCCAAGGCGGTTTCAAGAGCAGTCTGGCTCTTACGATCCTCGACATGTCGCTCCAGAATCAGGGTACGACGTTCATGCCAGAACCCGCGCCGGCCGAGTCGCCAACGCGTCTGCGCCAGCAGCTCGTTGAGGAGCTCCAGTTCCTTCGTGTATTCGTGAAGGGGTCCCAGGGCGTCGGCTGCCTTATGGACTAGGCGCGTCAAGATATGACCTTACACCGGCATGAGCTACTTGTTTCTACGCAAAGATCCGGAGACTTACCTGCTTCAAACCGTTCCAAACCGCGCGTGCGACGCTCATCATCAGCCTCAAAGGCGACCATGTTCCTCCACTCCTCTAAGAAGCCCTCGTCGTCCATAATAGACCAAACGGCGTGAGACGTAGCGGCACCATTCTTGTGACCTGCCTGAAGAGCCTTTTCCTTGTACGCGACGGCGTCTACGTAACGACCGGATGGAGGCTTCGACGTGCGTGGATTGAGTAACCACTCAACGTCTGCTGCGATATGCATCAGGCGATAGTAGGTCATAAAGTCGGCGCGGGTCTTCCAGATCTCGCTTGTGCGCTGGTAGAGCACCTCAAAATAGCTCCGCCGCAGAGCCCTCTCCAGGATGGGAGCAGTGAGGAAACCATCAGGAAGCTGGGTGCTAAGATGCCGTAGTGGTCAGAAAGTGATTGTCGGAGAATGAGTAGGCTCACCATCGTAGGTAGATGATATTGACACGAAGCATGAGTTCGTGTATATGTTCGTTGAAACGTATACAGACGCCTGGAAGAAGGGTGAGAAGGAAGAACCCGGCAACTGCACGCACAACATACCGAACCTGTCCATCACCCATTGACGGTGTGCCAGACCATCGTCGAAGTCGAGTAAGGTGGTCTGCTTCTTCTTGCCCTTCCCTGCACCGGCTTTGGATTCGACGCGGTCAAGGATGGCTTTGGTGAGTGTCGGCTTATCCTGTAAGGGCAGATGAGCGACATTAACAGGATGAGTCCAGCCAAGCCGCATACCTTCTTGGCAACCTGAAGAATGAGCATCTTAGCCATGTCTTTGAGGTCGTCGACTGTGAGAATCTCCAGCATCTCCGGCCAGTCCCAGTCCGGGCTTTCAGCAAAACGGCACTGTACGAAATAGCCATAGTCCGGGCCCTTCGCTTGCGGCTGCGTGGCCGCACCTTGAGGCTCTGGAGAGACCGCAGTGGAAGTAGACGACGAAGCGAACGCTGAAGTTGAAGGTGTCGGCTGAACGTCAATGAGCTGCTCCACCGCCTCGTCGTCGCTCGTTAAGTCTATGACCGTGACTTGGGTCGATTTGCGAAGGGGACGTTTGACGGGCGATGTGAACCGCCTCTTCGGCGGATTAGATCGGAGCGCAGCGGTACGTTCTCGCTGTGTCTTGCGCTGTTTGGGCATAAGAAGTTCCGGTCTGCCTGCAAGCGCACGGAGTGCTGTTGCAAAGTCGTCGCCGAGTCGCCTCTCCCAGTTCTTCATGTCGGAACGCTTGATCCATTTCCACTGGCGAGCGCACAAGCGCGCGTATATGAATTTGACGTCAACTAGAGCAATTGAGAAGCCGCAGAAGAGAGTGACAGGTATATGCACCGCACCATCGAGTGTGTTATAGGCCCGCAGGCACTCAAGTTCATCCTCAGTGAATAGATGTCGCTCGCACGCAAGTACCCCGATGATCGCGTCTGGGATGAAGTTCAGAGGTGTCCCCCAACATGACAAAGAATTGCCTACATACCTTCAAGGATTGTGACATACATAGACTCCTTGCGCTCTTCAGTCTCGGGCGTCAACGCCCTGTCGTCGCCGTCGCCTTCATTCTGAGACGCGTTCGGCGCGTTGACCTCTTCATACTCGTCGCCATAAATGACTTTGTTTGTTTCGGTCATGTCGGGAGAGCCGGGCCCCATGGCCAGCAGAAGGTATGGCGCGTGTGTAGCCTGGTGATGGTGGTGGTCGAGGTCCAAGACGCGCTCGAGCGACGCGTCCAGCCCGGTTCAGCACTTGGCTTCGAATTGTCAACTCCCGAATATACGCGGGTGTCACAATAGAATGTGTCACACCTTCCGGTCACCTGCACGCGCCTTCGGTACCGCGCGCCTTGGCTCCGACTCCCATTGACCTCGTACTTGGCCCACCATGTTCTCTGCTTTGGCTTTGTGAGCATACCAATTGTTACTACTGTACGTCGATTATATACTCATTGCAACTGTTTAGCCAATTACCGGCTCCCGTTAACCAGCCCGCTGTCTCGGAGGAGGAAGAGACGTATGACGCTCCCGCTACACAACCATCCACATCCACCAATGTCGTCCTTCGCCAGGCGGCACCGCCATATGGTCAGAGGAGAGGATGGAAACCGACCTCACAAGAGGACTTTGGTGCGTTGCCACTGCTCTTCCTCGGTCAAGCTAATCTGGGTGTTCATCAGGTGATGGTGGAGCGTACCCGGAGTGCCCTATCGCACAATACCCTATAGAAATGGGTAAAAAGAAGGCAAGTCAAGAGCGATCACAGTGAATACTTGTTACTCATCAGGCTTTAGATGTCCTCCGGTAACACACTCGCTCTACAAACCGACAAGGATGGGAACGTGCGATACGATGCCATTGCTCAGCAGGGCCAACGCGACGGCAAGAAAGTCCAGTCGCAGTTCAAAGATCTCGTCCCCCTCTTTTATCGCAAAGACCTCACAGAAGAAGAGAAAGAAATGGCGCGGCCGTCCGAGGAGGAAGTTGCGGAGACCACGGAGAAGACGCGCCTGGCGCTCGAGAAGATTACGCAGGGAAAGATCAAGACCGCGAACCCCAGCACGGTGCCAGGAGCGTCAGGCAAGACGCAGTTTATTCGATACACGCCTGGCCAGCAGAACGGTGGTGCCATGCAGCAGCGCATCATCAAGATGACTGAGGTCGTCGAAGACCCACTTGAGCCGCCACGCTTCAAGCACAAGAAGATTCCGCGTGGTCCGCCGAGCCCGCCACCACCTGTGCTGAGGAGTCCCCCGCGGAAGGCGACAGCGCAGGAGCAGAAGGAATGGATGATCCCGCCGTCCGTGTCGAACTGGAAGAACAACAAAGGTTTCACCATCCCACTCGACAAGCGGCTGGCGGCGGATGGCCGTGGTTTGCAAGACGTAGGACCGTCCCCCATCCCAGATTCCGTTGTTTTAACCTGTTTCATGCAGGTCACTATCAACGACAACTTTGCCAAGTTCTCCGAGGCGCTCTTTGTTGCCGACCGTCATGCTCGCGAGGAGGTACGGCAGCGCGCACTCATGCAACAGAAGCTCGCGCAAAAGGAGAAGGAAGCAAAGGAGGAGAACCTTCGTCTGCTTGCCCAGCGCGCTCGTGAAGAGCGTTCGGGTATTGCACCACGCGCTACCGGCCCCTCTGCCGACTCTGCCGCTGCCATGAAGAACTCCCTCGCCGCATACGACAGCGACTCTGACACAGAGCCTAGCGAGGACGAGGAGGACGAGGAAGCTGCCAAGCTTCGCGACCAGATGAGGCAGGAGAAGCGCAGGGAACGCGAGCGCGAGATGCGGATGAACAACATGGGCACTGAACAGCGCGCGAAGATGCTCGCTCGCCAGCAGAACCGCGATATCTCTGAGAAGATTGCACTCGGTTTGGCGAAGCCTACCATGGCCAAGGAGAGCATGCTTGACGCACGGTTGTTCAACCAGGAGTCGTTGTCAACTACGTTCGGCGACGAGGACAGCTACGGGTTGTACGATAAGCCGCTGTTCCATGGGTCCACCGCTGCTGCGGCTATCTATAAGGCTCGCGGGAACATCACGGAGGGTAACGAGGATAGCTTCGGTGGCGGAACGGAGGAAGGTATCGGCAAGGCGTTGGATAACGACCGCTTCGGACTGGGACGGGCGCAGGTCGGGTTCGAGGGCGCGGCGGACCAGGAGGTGAGGGATGGCCCGGTACAGTTCGAGAAGGATACGTCGGACGTGTTCGGTGTCGACAAGTTCTTGGACGAGGCGAAGAGCGGCAAGAAGCGGGGCTTGGACACAGAGGCGTGAGTCGGACCATTCAACTGGGTTGTTCTTTATTCTGACTTGCCTTCGCAGTGGTGGTGCGCGCAAGCGTCAGCAAATGGATCGTGCATCCGAACGCGAGTGATGTGCTATGTCGTGTACTCAACCATCGCATGCTCTCCTGTATACGTTACGCTGTCGTGTCTTCGTGGACCCCGATACTTATTCAATTTTGCGTCGCTGTTTGTAACTCAGACTGGCATGGCGCTCAGAAAGAAGCGTTAAGTCTCTGAGAAAAACAGTCGCCAAACGCTTTCGCTCTCCCTGATATGGCATTGTGTGTGGCGCGGAAGCCCTACAATGTTCAACGAACGATGCCTGGTATTTTATTACGACACAAACACCAGAACAGTAGTAGGAACCATTCAAAACTAAACCGGGAGAGCTTCGTTGATGGTTTCCACGTGGCGGACGGAACGAGCCGAGAACACTAGCGCACGCGCGCTGGCCGACGTTGCGACTCGCGAGTCTTCCTCGACCTCCCGTCCCGTCCCCTCCGTCGTTCTCTACACCTTCCTTTTCCGTCACACAATGGCCGCCGCCGATATTGAGGAGATTCGTGCCGCGTCTTACGTCGGTTTTGACTCTATTACGCAGCAGATTGAGCATAAGCTGCTCAAGCGCGGTTTCCAGTTCAACGTGATCGTCGTTGGTGAGTACTTGGTCCATTTTGTTGGGCGCCATATTGGGGGTCGTGAACGCCGGGATTCTGGTGGTCGAGAATTGACTTGTGCTTCGCGAGAAGGAGAGACCGCATACGGACTTCCATGGAATATGGCGCCTAATGTCGCGTAGACTCGAACAATGCTGACTTGCAACGCGCACGCCCACAGGTCAGACCGGTCTCGGAAAGTCGACGCTCATCAATACCATCTTTGCGTCGCACCTCATCGACTCCAAGGGCCGCAGGGAGGCGGACGAGCCCGTGCGCCAGACGACTGAGATCCAGACGGCTTCCCATGGTGTGTGACGCTGGTTGTACTACGCTGCGAGGGGGAGACTGACTCTTTGACCTATAGTCATTGTTGAGAACGGCGTGCGCCTCCGTTTGAACATTGTTGACACCCCCGGCTACGGCGACCAGGTCAACAACGAGGCTTGGTATGTTCATGTCAGACTTTCACTCAGTGTAGGTGCTGACTGGGTGTTTTGATAGCTGGGACCCGATTGTGAAGTACATCAAGGACCAGCACAGCGCGTACCTCCGCAAGGAACTCACCGCCATGCGCGACCGCTACATCCAGGACACTCGCATCCACTGCTGCCTCTACTTCATTAACCCTACCGGCCACTCACTTCGCGCCATTGACGTTATCGTCATGAAGAAGCTCTCTGAGGTCGTCAACGTTGTTCCCGTTATTGCCAAGGCGGACAGCTTGACGCTTGAGGAGCGCGACGCGTTCAAGCAGAAGGCGAGCCGGAATCAACCATTAAAATTCGATTACGTGTACTGACGGTGGCTTCAGATTCGTGCGGAGCTTTTCCACCATAGCATCCGCCTGTACCCCTTTGACACGGATGAGAACGATGAGGAGGAGGTCGCGCTCAACGAGTCCATCCGCGTACGTCGATATCATCACCACCGCAATGCGCAGTCGCTTACCTGAATGCGTTGCACAGGATATGATCCCCTTCGCAGTCGTCGGCTCGGAGAAGAGCGTGATGATTGACGGAAAGTCCGTGCGTGCGCGTAAGAACCGCTGGGGCGTTGTTAACGTTGAGGACGAGACCCACTGCGAGTTCGTCTCCCTGCGTAACTTCCTTACCCGGTACGATCCCAATTCCAGCTTGGTCTTCGCGCCTGAAACTCACCATAACTCTCTAGCACGCACTTGCAGGACCTCATCGAGACGACTGCCCAGATCCACTACGAGGCGTTCCGCTCAAAACAACTGCTCGCGCTCAAGGAGAACGCACGGCCGAACCAGACCCCGGCGTAGACGTTATACGCTCTGCCCCCTCTCTGTCTTCCTGCGCTTGTACCGGTCGTCTCGTGTTAAAAGTGATATACCCCCTACCTACATCTTTCTCATTCAGCCCCACGGAGGGCAATTCTGGATATAGGATATCGTACGCTTTGCGGATCCCTGCCGTCTTTACTTATAGTGATTATGTGGTGTTCTGAGTGTAGTTGGGATGACTAGAGCGCTACCACACTCTTCGTGCATGGGTTAGGTGATTGCCGGGAGATGTGACCGTGTCCATGATCCGTACCTAAGCTCAATCGCTCAGTTGTCCGCGCAGGCCGTGTGCGTCTCTTGCCTTCACACCACCACGTCGAAAGCCCGCGACAAGTCTATACGCCTCCCTGCATATACTATGAACGTCACGCGTCCAAAGGCTACAACTATCGGATGGCTGCATGACGACGTCCTCGTCCTGATATTCGGCGCGCTGGCCTTCCTGGACCCGCCAAAGTGTATCCGGGAGGAATGGGTGGATCCCCCGCACAGCGCCTATGAACTCGGTTGGATCAAAGCGACACACGTCTGTCACCTATGGCGTCGCATCTTACTATCGATGTCCCCTCTGTGGGCGTCCATAGTGAGCGAGCTGCCACACGTCTACGAAGTCCTATTGGACCGTGCAAAAGATGCTCCCCTGATCATCAACTTCCTGCCTTCCACTGGGTTGCGCGAAAAACACCTGAGCAAGATGATGACATCCACTATGAATCGCTACGAATATTTGTCTTCTCTGAACTACCTTGCGTTTCTCGGCAGTCAGCAGGCACAGGAGTTTCGCGACATCTTGTCGGGAGGCGTATACCGTCAACTGAAGCGTCTCGATATCTCCTTCTATGGCACGCATCCTCGCACATTGGACCATCTTCAAGATGGTATGAGGCTTAATGCACCTAATCTGGAAGTTGCCGTGCTGTCGGGCGTGCGGTGCACCTTCATGGCGCCGCATCTTCGTATGCTCGAACTTGACCGTTTCGGTCTATATGGGCGCAGAGACATGGATGGCTTCCTACGGCTTCTCGAGAGCTCGCCACTTCTCGAAGATCTGCTCTTCGATGTAATGCACGAACCATCGGACTCCGAGGTTTCTGCCAGTGGTGTTGCGCCGAGGCTCGTTCGCCTTCCCCGTCTGCAACGCCTCTGCATACGTAGCCATCGCAACGCCGAAGCCCTTACCCATCTCTTCCTGGGTCATTTGGAGTTCCCAACTTCGTGCTCCCTGCATCTCAATCATGCGAACTACATGCATCACGTAGACGGGGGACAGTATCTATTCGGTCTCTTCGGCCATTATTTCGGACAGCTCCCCTATGGTGCAGTGTACTTTCACGCATACTCCAATAACCGAGGTCCTGAGTTGATACAAAGCTTTTGTATCAACGTCTTTCCTGCACATGATTACTCGATGGCAATCGGTCACTTGCCCACCCCACACACGAGGGCGACATGTTGTCCTTCATTATCTCTCTCGCGCAATCGAGACTTTCAACAACGTCCTACACTTGATGCAGACCAGGTCCCCACGTCAGGTGTACGGATGGCACTTTCATCCTCTCGCGACCAGCTGTTCGCGGAGGCCATACCGTATCTCCGTCATGACACAATCACGCACCTTGCTTTGGATGTCGACAATGTCAGGCATACGAGCTTAGAGGCAATCCGTGCGACTCTTCATGTGTTCCAAGCCGTCGAGGTCATCTTCGTCACTGGATTCAACGCGGGTCTTGCGATGCAGCATATGTTCGCGTCCGACAGCGTGCTGGACATTCTCTTCCCCAGTTTACGGGAAGTGAACATCGCGCAGAGCGGAAGGATCTATTGGTCGCACGCGGCCTTGAACACATGGTGGGATCCCGTGCTCGTAGTGCTTGAGCGCAGGAAGAGCGTCACGAACCCCATACAAACGTTGCGTGTCGCTGGGGTCGCGTGCAAGAAGGATGAAGCAGGTTGGGCCCTCGACCAGGCAAAGATCCAGCTTGCGCAATCTTTCGTTGCTGAAGTCAACGATGAGCGTTCTTGATAAAGCACGATATCAGATTTCACAATCTGAACTGAAGAATTCCGGGAGTTATGGATTGTACATACTCAAGTTGCCGGCCGATCTATTCGACAGTATGCGTAGAGGTGTGCGTTTGCGATCGATATCGTTAGCAGAGACCTAGCCACTTTGTACGCTGACATGATCGACCTTCAAACTTGAATATACACGTTGTCCCCTACGGTGTTGCGAATATGTACTCAAGAATCACATAGACGTCGAGTCAGTCCAGAGACGGTTGGGAACTTCGTCCACCCTGACCTGTGGTGGCTTTCATAGTGGATGACTAGCCATGCGTGTGCAGTAGCATATATCTGGTTCGGATGCTGGTCGGATGGTTTCGCAAGAAAACGCGCCTCTGCATGACGCGTGACGTCATCCTCGTATCGACGCGTCGCGCGTCGCGTTGAGTGCCACTCCTCCCCACTAGGCCGCAATCCCGACCGCACTGCCTAAGTATGATGCAGAGTTCATACACAGGCTTATCTAAGCGGGGATGGTGGGGCGTCTGTTTGGAGACTGCATATCACTGCATGCCGACCACTGACGCGCACGTCGCTGGTGGCAGGCGCGACATGATCCCCATTCGCCTACCGGAGTTCGCAGACAGCTGGAGCGCAATAACCAGGTTACAGTTTGCTAGACGGCGAGGAGTGGCGTCCATGAGAGAGCCGTAAGGATGAAGCGGCCGACGATGTCAGGAGTCCTTGACATCAATTGTCGGTGGGGAGGGAAAATGACGTCGTTGAGCGCCGTCGCTATAACCTTCGCACCCAAACCTCCTGCAAGGCATCAACACAGACCCTCCTTCGCCTCTTATTCACTCTTGACCACGACCACGAACTTACCATGAACTTTTTCTCACTCGCGTCTCGCGCAGCCCCTCTGCGCCGTGCGCCATTCGCTCTACGCGCATCTTACAGCCATCTGGCTCGCCCTATCGCACAACCCGCTCGCGTGTCACCAACGTTGAAGCTGGTCATGGCTCGCGGAGCCGCGAACTCCGTTGGTAGTCGCCCTGGCTCGCAGACCTTCGAGCATGCCCGGCAAAACATCAAAGAGGAGGTCGGGGACGCGGCACGCGATATGGCTAAGACGATTGCCGGCGGCAACTACCCTACAGACTCTATTGCTGGCGTCAAGGCTGGCGACGGCGAAAGCTTTGTAAGAAATTGATCTTCAAGAGCGCAGCGCGACTGTATGCTAACTATAACTCTCCCAGATCGGCGTAACTTCTGCCGTTGTTGCCTCTGTTCCCAAGCCTTACTTGGTTATGGGCCTCGCGGGTGGTCTCCCTTATCTCGGCGCAGCTGGCACGAGCGTTTACCTCGCGCGTCAAGCTGGCGACGCTGCTACCGGCTTGGTAGCTAACATCGACCCCGGCGTAGCGCTTACGGTGCTTGACCAGGCGTTGTCCTTCCAGACAACATATGGCGCAGTAATGCTCTCCTTCCTGGGCGCGCTTCACTGGGGCATGGAATTCTCCAACTTCGGAGGCCAGAAGGGCTACCCGCGTCTGCTGCTCGGTGCCGCGCCGGTTGTCTTCGCCTGGAGTACGCTCGCCCTCGATCCCACGACGGCGCTCATAGCGCAGTGGTTCGGCTTTACCGGGCTCTGGTACGCCGATCTCAAGGCGACGGCCAATGGCTGGACACCCAAGTGGTACTCGCAGTACCGCTTCTACCTGAGTATCCTCGTGGGTTCGTGCATCATCGCGACGCTTGCGAGCACGAGCTACTGGTCGCCGCACGGCACGCACGTCATGATGCACGAACTCCAGGAGGTTCGTGCCGAGCGTAAGCGCCTCCACCCCGAGGCTCGCGGTGTGCTGCCCGGCGGTGATGTTTCTGCCGTGCCGGCGTCCGACAACGAGTCATCTGGCGCGTATGTCATCCTCAAGAAGCGCGATGTCGAGAAGGAGCAGGAGACGGATAACCAGAAGGGTGCGAAGGAGGGCCAGGAGGAGTAAGCGTGAGGGTTCTCAGATTCTCTCTGAACGGACACGAAAGTATTCTATAGCAAGCATTTGTACGATTAGCCTTTGTACCATACCATCTGGAGGCATCCATGTATCGCAATCAAACATATGAATAATCTTGGCCATCTTGGGATGAACGCGCGAAGCAAGTGGATGGAGGAAGGAAAGCGCTCGAACTTTCTGCGCGTCTGCGCCGATCGCGTCTTCTCGCGCCGCGCTTTATTTCTTGCTCTCATCCTGCTCTACTGGGCTTCACCTTCATTCAATCTTTCTCTACCTGCTCTCTTCACGAATCGCCTATAATTCGGCAAGATGTCGCAGATGGCCTTCAGCACCGCCAACTGGCATTGGAAGAACAAGACGGTGACGCCCTGGGCCAAGAGCTGGTTCGAGCGCGAGCTGCCCACCGTCTTTGTCGAGGGCGAGGGATCTGGTCCCGCCGGCGCGCGCGTGCAGGTTACGAAAGTGACCGAATGTGATGGCGATGTCGAGCTCGGCCGTCGCAAGTCCAAGTACGCGCTTCCTAGTGCTTACCCCAACGCGCTGTGGCGCTAAACAGCATCACTTCTATTTGCATAGGCTGATCACGATCTTTGACTGCCGCGTCGTGCTCACCTGGTCGGGCACTGCCGACGATGGCACTGCCGAGGGCACGCTCACTATCCCCGAGGTCTCGCACGACGTCGTGATCGACGGTATCTCCGACTACGACTTCCAGTTCGCGCTCACGTCCGAGGCAACGCCCACGGCATCCGCTCTGCTCCAGCTCGCGCGTACCAAACTTCCTGGCGCACTCCAGGCAGCCATCGCCAAGTTCCCGGCCGCGATCATCGACACGCATGGCGCAGATCTCGTTGTAGGTGGTGACCCCAGCCGGGGCGGAAGTCCCGCGCCTACTGCGCCGGCACCTGCATCGGAGAAGAAGGCGGAGGAGAAGGTCGCTGTAAAGGAGAAGAAAGAGAAGGCGGTGAATACGAGTCAGGTGTCGGTCGAGGCTACCTTCGCGGCCTCGGCGGATGACTTGTATTCCATCCTTACGGATGAGAAGAGGATCCCGGCTTGGTCTCGCGCATCTGCGAAGGTATGCTCATTGTTTGTATGGTCTGATTCCGATGTATTCATTGATCTTTCTACAGTCTGAGCTGAAGGAGGGCGGAGAGTATGTGCTGTTTGGCGGAGGCGTGCGCGGGAAGTATGTCTCGCTCGCGCCTGGTAAGGAGTTGAAGCAGACGTGGACATTGCAGAGTCCAACGTGGCCATCCGGTATGCGAGCTCGGTGGAAGATGCACAACATCCGGCTGAACCGTGTGATCGCTGAATAGGGCACGAAGCAACACTGACGACCAAATTCGATCAGTCCACGGACTCGACCAAGGTCACCTTCACGCTTTCGGGCGTCCCGACCGGCATGGAGGATGAGCTCAAGACGAACCTGGAGGGATACTAGTGAGTCAATCTCTTGTTGTCGCCCCATACGTTTTCTGACAGCTTTGTAGTATCCTTGGCCTCAAAAACATTGGGTACGTACAGATTTATCCCTCACCCCCTCGTACAAGCACAGTTCGCATACCCGCTCCCAAAACCGCTTCCCAAGAATACACACAGAAGAAGCCGCCGCCGAGCTGGAGTTCGTACGCCGTCTCTGCGGGATTGACTGCCCTCGTGCTTGGCGCGGCGGTCGCGGTGCCACTCCTTTACTCTTCCCCTGCTTCACCCAAGTGAAACAACGGTCTCTAATGCTATTCTTATTTTTACTGCTTCTTATGCAGACTTGGCACGGTGCTTTGATACGCGTACGTCGATCGGCGCCCTCGGGGGTCCGGGGCTGCATGCAAGATACGCAAGTACAAGAACGCACAGAAAGGCGGCACGGACGCGGTCAGGCGCATGTGGGCTCGGATGGGTGCTTGGGTGTTCTTGGGAATCGTATAGACGAGAAGCTTTGTAAACAATATATAATGGAATGCATCTGTACATACACGATTTGTCGCTTTGTTGGCCAGCTGCATTTTGAGAAGCGCAAGGGCCGAGGCCGCCGCGCGCTTACTTAGCGAGCTACATAATGGTTGCCCGATGCATCGTAACTAGTGTCGTTGAGGATAGGGGTTCCGGGTCGCCACCCACCGTCTTCGTGACGTTGTTTGTCGGCGACGGGATACTCAGTGTCGCAGATAATGGTCCGGAGGCCGCTGAATATGCTGAGTGGGTCATCGGGCCACGTCGGGGGGCAGCGGGGATGCACCCGGATGAGCGGCGAGTTAGGCGGGAGATGACCTGAACATCACCGAGTCAGCCGGAAAGTGGGCGCTCGGCATGACGAAGAAGTTCGGGCCGTGATGTGGACATGTCGGACTCAACGTCTCCAGACCGCAGGTTCGGTTGAGCGAGCGGTACGGGAGGGGAGTGCAGTAAAGAGTGTCGGTATACCGATATGTGCAACAGGAAAGCTGAGCATCCGGAAAGATGGGAACAGGGATTGGCCTGGGGGCGAGGCGATGCGGGGGAGATCAGGACCGTTGGGCGTCTCGGACCAGGGCGTCTCATGAGGCCGGCAGCTTACGAACGAATGCTTGCACGCCTCTTTCCTCTTCTAACCACAACTTCTCTTTTCAACGTAACTTATCCCTTGCGCCCTCCTGCCTCGCCGGAGTGGCCCGTGACGACCCCCTCATGCCCGCAGACGACGAGCCCGCAAAGCCAAAGAGCATCCTCGCTCGCATCCGTGACTTTAATATCGGCGACCTCTTCGAGCGCACCCGTGTGCCCGGCCCTCCCCGCTCGATATTCGTGAACCAGGCGCTGCCGGAGGAGTACTATGACCCGAAGAAGCCGCACAAGGTGCTGAAGCAGTACCGGTACACGCCCAACCAGGTCATCACCTCCAAGTACACCGTCCTCACCTTCATCCCCCGCGACCTCCTCGAGCAGTTCCGTCGTGTAGCCAACATGTGAGTCGATTTCCATTGCTGGCCCCGTCCACACGCTCGCCCTCCCGCCCCCATCACCGCACTCCAGCCCATGGGAACGCGCCCCGTGTTATCTTGCCGTCCCTGTCTGTGTTCGCGGCCATTGATCGCTTCCCGCTCGCGTCCATCGTTGCAGTCGCTGACAGCTTCCCAGCTTCTTCCTTGTCATCGCCATCCTCCAGTTCAACAACAAATTCTCGACCATCTCCCCGGGTCTCGTTATTCTACCCCTTATTGTCGTTCTTGCCATCACCGCCCTCAAAGATGCATATGAGGACTTCAAACGCCATCAGTCCGACCGCCGAGTAAACTACTCCGAGGTCCGCGTCCTCGCCGGTCCCGGTTTCGAGAACAACAACTACATGTCGGCAAAGTCGCGGACATTCGTCCGCGCCCTGCCCTTCAGGCGCAAACGCAAGACCGACGGTCCGAAACGCAAGGCGGATATGGAGATGTTGGCCCGTGGCGCACCCCCCGGTGCCATCAGCTCTGCTCGCGGAAACGAGCCTCAGGCGCCCGGAGCCCCCACACATGGTGATGGAACGCACGATCCCGAACACCGCCGTCAGAGTATGATTGGCAGTATGTTGCACCACCATATTGAAGAGGAGCCGTACTGGGAGACGTCCATTTGGGAGAACTTGAAGGTCGGAGACGTCGTCAAGCTCAGCAGCAACGAGCCCGTCCCGGCTGATATCCTCATCTGCGCGACAAGCGAGGAGGAAAACGTCGCATTCGTGGAGACGAAGAACCTCGATGGAGAGACCAACCTTAAGAGCAGAACCGCTGTCTCTGCGCTCACCCACATGCGCACGGCGCAGGACTGCGTGAAGGAGCAATTCATCATCGAAGCTGACCGGCCGGAGC